AATGAGAGAAAGGTTGAAAACAAGAATGCATTATTAAAGAGTAAGAGCACTCACATACATACTTAACTAAAGAAGATGGGAATATAATAGTATTATAGGATATGCTGCTTCAGAATTTCTTTAATGAGCCAGAGTAGGGTGATTAAACTGCAGCCTTGTCAGAAGGACATTACTGCAAAATTTACAGTGAAAGCAGCTTTTTTCAGTCAGCGCAACCTGGAAACAGCAGAGGTAATAACAGAACTGGTTATATTACTCAATAATTAGGAGGAAATAAAAACATTTTTGGACACAGTTTACTTCTTTATTAAAGAGGTTAGTAAAATAGATGTGTAAAGAAGAAGTAAATTGTATCCAGGAGGAAAATGATACAGAAAGCAGAGAGACCAAATAAATGAGAAAATTTGGATAAATAAAAACAAGTGGCACTTTAAAAACAACTAATTTTTGGCAGGAAGTGACTACTAAAGAAAGTAAATTAATATATAATATGGGAAGTGAAATTAATGAATTTATTGTTCTAAGAGACATATTGTTGAGGTAATAGGAAGCATGAATTAGTAAGAGAAAATAAATAAAAACAAAAAAATAAGATAGCTTCCAAACCAGTTTAGAGGGGATTGGGGAAGACATTTTAAAAAAACAGTCTCGTTATGGGCAGAAAAAATATGTAAGTAGAAAGAAAAATATGTAAGTAGCAAGCACAATTTAAGGTAGAATAATAGTTTTAAATAGATCTGTAATTATAGTAAGTGTAAATGATTAGCCAAGAAAAATATGTAAGTAGAAAGCACAATTTAAGGTAGAATAATAGTTTTAAATAGATCTGTAATTATAGTAAGTGTAAATGGTTAGATTCTTATATTAAAAGATAGAATATCAGGTGGGCTCGGTGGCTCAGCCTGTAATCCCGCGCCTTTGGGAGGCTGAGGTGAGTAGATTGCCTGAGCCCGTGGGTTCGAGACCTGCCTGGGCAGTGAGACCTCATCTCTACAATAAATCAAAAAATCAGCCGGGCGTGGTAGCACATGTCTGTAATTCTGGCTACTTGGAAGACTGAGGCTGAAGGATTGCCGGAGCCCAGCAGGCGAGGCTGCGGTGGCCAGGAGTGGCCACTGCACTCCAGTCTGGGTGACAGTGAGACTCCAACTCAAAAAAAAAAGATAGACTATCTTAAGTTGGATTTTTAAAATACAACTGAAGCAAAAGCAAAAAACAATGAGACTAATAATCTTTAAATGACCTAATCTTAAAAGATCTTAATAGTTTTTAAAAGAATAAATTCTTTAAATAAAGCAAAATTTGGCAGGGTAATAGGGAAAACTTGTTAAATTTGTGGTGATAGTAGGATTTTTAAACATAGCTCTCTTAGGAGTTAGTAGTTTAAACAGTTAATTATTGAGTCTAGAATAGCAATGACAAAATATCAGTTCTGAGGAGGGCTTATAACAGGAAACAAGACAAGTGCAACATTTAAAAATCATACCATCATGTACTTCACTGATAAAGGCGAATCATCATATGATCATACAATTATGGATACAGAAAAGGCTTTTGATACATTTAAATATTTATGTAATTTTAAACTGATAATTTAAGAATAGAATGCATAACATTAAACTAATAAAGTTGAAATGTTCTTATTGATAAAGAATAAGTGCTAAATATTTAGAAAATGATTCCTAAAGGTGAAATGGTATAGGGATTCCCCTTACTTAAGACTAAGACAAGCCTAGGATATACACACTTAATCCTTCCTTTGGACAATATGCTGGAGATCATGTCAGAGCAAGAAGACTAAGTGAATGTTACTAAGGATTTGGAGAACTAAAAATTGCATTTGTAGTTTATATGGTAGTCTACATAAAACAATCCAAGAAATTCTTCTATAAAGAGTTCAGTAAGATTATTGGATACAAGAAGTAAGAAAGGAATTCTAGCAGGGAGGTTTGCAAGTAGGGAAGAATGGTAAAAAAAAAAAAAAAAAAATTAGGGAATGAGAATAAACACTGTACAAAAAGTTAATGTCTAATGGGGTTACAACATGAACTAAAATAAGTTTTAAGTAGCATAAAATGAGTTATTAGAATTATAAGTGTTCTAAGGTCTTTATATTGTTCAGGAATAAGATAAATACATTGATTCTCTTTAGATTTTTTTAAATGCCATTACATTTTGAGGGAGTAACTATTAAAAGTAAGAATTTAACATGGGATGAATTGAAATTTTAAAAAATCAGTGAATACAAATTTGACAAGTAGTAAAAAAGCATTTTAAAAAGACAGGATAGTTGCAAAATAAAGTGATAGAAATAGTTTCCTAATATAGTAACAATAAGTGAAAACTACTCTCAAAGCAAATTAAAGAAAAATAAATATGCAAATATGCAGTATGATACCATTTATATAAAGTTCAAAAATAAAAAGCAATACTAGCTATTACATACGGATATGTATATAGTGAAACTAAAATGAAATGCAGAGTATATTGCAAATTTCTTTATGGTTAAATAACAATTTCAAATGTTTGTGAGAGGGAGAGAAGAAAATGATGATTAGGTAGTATTTAGTTATTTTCTGGGTTTTTATGTAAACTTGAAATAGTTTATAATTAAAGGAAATTTTAAAAAGGCAAACTTAAGCTTGGCTGAGATTTGCTTAAAAGGTAAGCAGAAGGTGAAAGTTAAAAGTTAGACAGGCAAAGGTTGTATGGTGAAGGGCCTTGGAAGTCACATTAAGGAATGTGGACTTTGCTTCATGGACAGGGTGTGTATTAGTTTCCTGTTGGTGCCATAAAAAATTATCACAAACTGAGAGGCTTAGAACAACAGAAATTTATTATCTCACAGTTCTGGAGACCAGATGTCCAAAATGAAGGTATTGATAGGGCTTTACTCTTTTTGGGGAATTTAAGGGGAAAATTCATTCTTTGCCTCTTCCAGCTTCTGGTGGCTCCAGTTGTAACTTGTCTTATGATTGCATAACTTCAGTCTCTCACTCTGATTCTCATGGTCTTTTCCTGTATATGCCTCTACTCTTTGTGACTCTTACAAAGACACTTGGCATTGGATTAAGAGCTAGCCCAAATATCTCAGGATCCTTAACATAATTATATTGGCAGAGACCCTTTTTCCAAATAAGGTTACATTCACAGGTTCTAGGTAATATTTTGAGGGCCACCATTCAACTTGCCTCAGGATGAATGATAGTATTGAATTTTATTTCTGGCAGATTCCTATGGCTGTAGCATGAAAAATTGACTTGTAGATTTGCATACTTAGTACACAGTTCCATTGCAGGTGGTTTGTAGTGGTGGTAGCAGGGGTATATGGAAAAATGGGGCTATAAGAGGGATTTCAGAAAGGAAATTCATAGGACTTGGTAATTAGGAATGGAAGAAGGAAGAATTAAGGATGACTTTCAGATTCAGTTATGCAAATATGATGGATAATGGGGCCATTTACTGTCATCTATGGATCTTATTTGGTGATTTGTTTTCTTTCTAATTTACTAAGTTTGGGTGCTTGGAATCATCCATATTATACCCAGTAATGTGTTGGGTATAATACTGAGCTAGAGATAATAGATTTATAGTTATGAGCATACACTTACTAAATACAGCCATGGGAGAGGGTAAGATTGTCCAGTTTATGTAAAGAGAGAAGTTGGCCTTGTACAGATCCCTGAGAGACAAACCCCAACATTTCAAGGTCTAGCTAGATAAATGGGAGGTAACCAGGAGACTGGTCCCATAAAAGATAATTAATAAGCTTAGGACAGTTTTTCCTGAAATGTGGATAGGCATGAAGAAAAAGTAAGTAGGAAATTTTTGTCAGTGAAACACAGACAGTGAATATAGATAAGCCTTTCAAGTAGGTTGTCTAGGAAGGAAAACAGGTGGGGTTGAGTGAAGGTCTTTTTTTTTTCTTATTCTGAGATGGAAAAGGTAAACACAAGTCTTCATCTGTTTTATGCTGCTACGACAGAAACTTGAGACTTGGTAATTTTTAAGGAACAGAATTTATTTCCTCACAGTCATGGAGGCTGGGAATCAAAAAAATAATCAAGGTGCCAGTGATTTTGATGTCTGATGAGGGTTGCTCTCTGCTTCCAAGATGGCGCCTTGGTGCTCTGTCCTCACATGACAGAAAGTAGAAGGGCAAAAAAGGACAAACTCTCTGACAAGCCTTTTGATAAGGGCACCTAATCCAATTCATAAGGGTGGAATCCTCATGACAAAGCTCCCAAAAAGCTTGCTTTGGGGATTAAGTTGCACCATAAAGTCTTGGAGAGTGCAAAAACATTCAAACCATAGCAGCATATTTAAGTCTTCTTTAGAAAAAATCAATAGGAAGTCAGTCTGAGGTAAAAATGATACCTTTGATCTTTGCTATTTTTTGTGAAAATGCATATTTGAAAACAATTTGTTTGTATTCCTTAGTACTTTTTTTGTTCAAGTTTCATATTGGACTATTTATCTTTTATAAAAATGTATATTGTATTTTTTGTATATTAGAGAAATTCATTTTCTGTCAGGTATATTAAGGTATTTTTCCATTTTGTTTTATCTTTGTTAATTTCTTTTTAGCAATACATGTGTTAATTATGTGATTAAGATATATCACTCTTTTGTAATGTCTAGGAAACTTCATTTTTATAATAACTAGCTTTAAAGTTTAAAATACCTCAGATGTCTGCTTCTTTCCTTTTAATTAAAAAAATTGTTAAATTTAAAACTATAAAGCCAAATAATGTAGGCAGATAAAATATTCGTTTTATGTAAATGTATTTGCTTGTTATAGCTTTGGAAGTATATGTATAGGATGTTCCTATTTTCTTTCTTCGCATCTGAAAATATGATTTTTGGAGGGTTTTTTATTTTTTATTTTTTTTAATCATTAGCTGTTTTGGAAAATGTAGGTAAGTTTGTTGGAAATATTATTTCCCTAATGTAATAGCAAACACATGTATGCATTTTGGCTCATTAATTTTCTTCTCAAGTTTTAAGCAGGGTCTGAAAACTCTTGGTGTTTTGGAGAAAATTCAGACTTATCCAGAAGCATTTTGTAGCATCCTCTGTCATAAACCGGAGAATCTTTCTGCAAAAATCCTTAGTGATCTTTTTGCAGTACATGCACTACCTGATGTACAAACTTTGGGGTTTTGGAACAGTTACCTCCAGGCTGTTGAGGGTATGTGGATATTTAACTATCTCAGAATGTTTGTTTCAGCATATTTATTTGTTTTTCTGGGTTTTGCCTCTTGGTATCAATAATAAGACTTTCATCTGTTAACTCTATATTTACAAAAGAAAGTTACTGCAAAACAAGTTTATATGTCTGAGTTAGAAATGAAATCCCAGCACTTCTATTTGAGCCCAGGCATTTAAGACTAGTTTGGACAACATAGCAAGACCCTATTCCTACAAAAAAAAAATAATTAGCTGAGTGTGGTGGTGCATGCCTGTAGTCCTACCTACTCAGGATGCTGAGGCAGGAGGGTCGCCTGAGCCCAGGAGGTCAACTCTGTAGTGAACCGTGATTATGTCACTGCACCTCAGCCTGGGCAACAGAGCAAGACCTCACCTAAAATATAAGAAGAAGAAGAAGAAAGATTCTAGAGTAAATTTGTATTTTGTAATTTTTTTCCTCTAGATAACGTAGGGTAAAATGTATTCTTTCTAGAAAACTTTAAGTAAATGGATTGTTGCCACAGCATATGACAGTCTTAAAGCTAATCATCTATTTCATCAATTTCAATTTGAAGTTAAACTGAATTATTCATCTGATTTGTTCTTTAACTTGGTTTTTCATCTGAATTATTCTTCATTCTGGTTAGGGCTATGGTAATAATATTTGTCACTGAGCATTAGCAATGTAAAATTATTCCGTTTAATAAAGTGAAGAACTTTTAGTTGAAATTCTGCTTAGACAGGTTTTTGGTTTTTCTTATTTGGTTTTTCTTCACTATTTAGCTTTTCTTCATTTGTTGAACCTAGTTTATCAAATAGTGGTGACCTAGAAGTGGTCAAATATACAGTGATTAGCTGGAATAAAGATTTTATCAGTCCTTCTGTTTTGAGATTCATTTATTAAATGTACTGTTTGGCTGTTACTGCACTTGACTGTGATTTAGTTTGACCAAGATGAACGTGGAAGTCTGTGCCTTTCATTATTCCAGTAAACTTAGGGAAGAGTCTGTGGTGATAGCAGTATGTAACATGGATTTACTTTTTTTTCTTTTTTTCTTGGTAAACTTTTCAGATGGTAAATCTACAACAACATTGGAAGATATTCTTATTTTTGCAACTGGTTGCAGTTCCATTCCTCCTACTGGTTTTAAACCTACTCCTTCGATTGAGTGTCTGCATGTGGAGTTTCCTGTTGGAAACAAGTGTAATAACTGTTTAGCGGTTCCAATCACCAATACATACAAAGAGTTTCAAGAAAATATGGACTTCGCCATCAGAAACACTCCAAGACTAGAAAAGGAAGAAAGCTCTCATTACATTGGACATTGAATTATTTCTTTGAACAAAGAGATACTTTAAAAGCTGCTATTAATAACTTTCTTTTGTTTCAGAAATCTTTTTATCATCACTTTTGAACAAATTTGGTAGCTTCTTGGCCCAATAAAATTTATGCTATGAACATAAAGGAATATTTTGGCCATTTAAGTTAAATAAATTGTTTATTTAGGCATACCAATCAAAATTGGTGATTTAAAAAAAATTTCTTAATATACATGCTTCATAAATCTCAATATAAATACTTTGAAAATGGTTGTAGAGACTTTATTTAGGTATAGTGGCATGGTATATGAAAGTAAAAACTTTGTTACTCACTATTTTTATAAATTAGGATTACCTATAGGATGCCACAATTTTTCTAGGCTTATTCAGTTTTCAAATTATTCCTAATTTTATTTTAAGGCATTAAGTAGAAAAGCTAATTGGTTACATCTTGTTATATAAATCAGAGGCATCTATTTTAGGTATGTGTTATTACATATACCGTATGCTTTTCTAGGATGGCATTAAATTAGTTGTTAAAATGTTTTCAGATTACTGATTTAATTTAAAATGACCTACATTTCAATTAGAGTATGCTTCATGAGAAGTATGATATGAAAAGCAGAAGTAAGCCAGGTGCAGTGGCATGTGCCTGTAATCTCAGCCATGAGAGAGACTGAGGAGGGAGGTTCTCTTGACCCAGGAGTTAGACCACCCTGGGGCAATATAGCAAGACACCATCTCAATAAATAAATAAATAAATAAAGCAGAATTGCACATTTTTTCCCCCTGTAATCTAGGGATATTCTATAGGCCAATAAACACTTCTGAGATAGATAAAATGTAGTTGAAAATACTTAAGAAACGGTGTCTTCTTTAAAGCCTTGGTTTTAATCATAAGATTTATTTTCCTGTATCCTATGTTTGGTATGTCTGATCCATAATCATTTTAGGTATTTGAATAATCTCTGTTGATTGCCATGTGGTAGATTTGGCCATTTGACCATTATTTATTATCAAGGTGGTTGTATGCTAAGGTAAGCTGGAACCATAGCATTATACGGTTGTCTTCATTGCTTTTGAATGTTATCTGTTACTATATAAGCAATGTATAAATAAAGTAAAAAAAAGAAGAATGAAAAACCCATTTAATCTAACCATGCAGAGATAAATACTGTGTTTCTGTGTATACTTCTATAAACTCCCTTGTTTCTGTTACTTTTTAACTTTATTGCACTAAAAGTCAAAGAATGCCTAAAAGTAACAAGAAATCACATAATAACAATGTGAAGATATATAGTCCTGTATTCATGTCCCCATATTTACACTGACCCAAAACAATTTTGGCGGGGGGGAAACTAATATCCCTAATCAAACATAAATACTAATACAACATAAAAACTAATATCCCTAATCAAACATAAATAAGGTAAAACTCCAGTTTTCCAGTAAAGGAAATCATTATGATAGGTAAATCATTATGAGAGGTAAAATGTTTTAACCACATTTTTCTGAATACACAAAGCAGGTATCTACTATTGTCAAATCCTAATCCTTCCAAAGAAATACCCCTAAATTATTGATGGTCTTAAAGAAAAATAACAGAATTGGTTTGAAATAGATAATATATCTCTTAATACCAAAGAAAAACTATAACATAATTCTAGTGTAATTTTCCTTGTTACCGTGTTTCTCTTTCGAGTTATACTTACAGATCTAGCAAATTAACGTTTTGCTTTAACTTGAAGTGTTTGAGAACATTAAACAAGGCATATCTTGTGTTGAATTGTGTTGGATTATCGAAAGTAAATAAAGGGTCAGTTATTAAAAAAGAGTTTGAAGATCTCTCATAAACCTCAGTCTCACCGTACAGTTTTTCTTCTAAATGTATTGTCAAAATAGATATTTTGTTTCTTAACCTATCTAATTTTTATAAAATATAAAAATCATTAAACCAATGCAAGCCAAAAAAACTATAAGGTAATTTTCTGGTTTGTAGTTTTAAGTAATTCCCCCTAGAGTGGTAATTAAAGATGACATAATACATACATACTTTGTTGTGGTGGAGGTGGCAGGTAGGGAGCTATGTGCTTGGATTAGGTACAATTAAAATCAGTATTTCAGTTCTTCCTTTTTCTTTGAGGGTGCCAAAAAAATACACATTTTAAGAAAGGAAAAAAAATTGTAATACTCAATATATACTAACAACAAAAGATGAATACAAGTCACGTTTGACTTCTGTAATTACAAGAGGTGCTCAAAGTGGTTACCATTAGTGTCCATACACTTCTGATTACAGTGAACATCTCTTAAGATCTCCTAAAACCCTTTCAAATTCCTAATCATATACCAGTACCTACTACTGTATGCCAGGTGTTATGCTAGGTGATAACGCATATGCTCGCCTATTTTTCCCGCTTTGTATGTATCAGTTGGGGTCTCACTCTGTTGCCCAGGCTAGAGTGCAGTGGCTCACTGCAGCCTCAACCTCTTGGGCTTAGGTGATTGATTTTTCTGCCTCAACCTCCTGAGTAGCTGGGGCTACAGCCATGTGCCGCCACACTTGGCTTAAATTTTTATTTTTTGCAGATAGGAGGTCTCGCTATGATACCTAGCTGGTCTTGAACTCCTGGCTCAGTGATCCTTTCACCTCCGTCTCCCAAAGTACTTGGATTATAGCTTTGAGTCACCATGTCCAGCCACCTTCCCCCTTCCTTTTTAAAAACTGCCAGATGTAACCAAAAAAATGACATTTATAATGAAGTTTTCTAAATAAATATATTTATGCCGCTAAATGTGAGGTGCTTGTATTAAATAACTTGTTGGGAATGTGAGGTTAGGATTCTGACAAAACTGAGTAAGATACAAGTTCCTTTACATTTAAGATTTCCTGTAAGCGGTTGTTGGCTGACACCCAGGAGTAGAAATGAGGTGTTTTGTGTTAATACTATCTATCCCCTAATATAAAATAGCTTGTCTGATAAATTAAGTCAAAAATCTAGATAGATAAATGGCTACAATAAGGTAAGTTTATTAACAGTGTGATGCCATAGATATTTATTTCTAATTCTAGTCAAATGAACACCTTAATCTCAGCCTTACATGATTATTTGTCTACTGTTACTGTTCTTCTGTGGGGTATATTTTTCTATATATTCATGGCCCACACTATGTACACTCCTTTTTTCAGGACAGTTTTTATCATTTCATATGTATATAGTGTTCATAAGTGTTAAAGTTGTCTTAGTATTTTATGTTAACATGACTCTCAGTCTTGGGGAAAGGATCTATGATGGAACTGAAATGGCTAGATGATAAATCTGCTTTTGAAACTGGAAATATTGAAGTGAACAAAATTGGGCTCTCAGATAATTTATATTCCATGGAAAAACTATAGATTGAAGTAGAACTTTCTTGTTGGGCAGACTCATTTCTGTTTAGTCAGAACACACTAGATCATTGAAGATTCTTTCAAAATACTAGTAATAATACTGAAGAAAACACCAGTAAATATTCTAGTTAATTTCTTAATGAATATGCTAGTTAGCTATAAAAGTAAAAGATTATGTAACCTTTAAAAAAAGTTTTTATTTTGAAGATGGGTACAATTCAGGGTTAGGTATACAAATGTTCATTATGCAGGTACCCTTGTAGATTATGCAATTCTTAAAGGTAAAACATGTAGTTTAAATAATGCTGTTTCCTAATAGCATAATCTGTTTTAAATTTCACAAAAATAAACAGCTTTTATTTATGAAATAAAAGAAGCTAGTGCTTTTTAAATAAAATATAATCTTTGTATATAATTGTTAAATTTAATTCATTTTACTTATATAATTTTGAAAGTTAAGTATTTGGGACACATTTTATTTCAGAATTTGCTGCAACTTCAGAATCAACGTATTTCATCAGTGAACTCTATTAACATAAGGGAAATGAGTTGTCCTTGTAAATCTATTTTTGACGAGCAGTAAAATCTACGGATACATTCTGTGATCATATAGCTTCAAGTGTACATTAAAACATCATCACTGCTGCTCAGCTTTCCCCGAATATAATGTTTTGTGATTTTGCAATTGCATAGGGAAAAATGCAATTTTTCCATTTTGTTCCTTCCTGGCTCCTACGTGCATGCCGCCGTAAAGCTAGACCATTTTGCCCAAGAGAAGCGTCTGAGAAACCTGCCAGATTAGAGTAATGCTCCAATGCTCTCTGTGGAAAAAAAGCAAAGGGGACACTCCTGCTGCACTGGGAAACGAGAGCTAGCAGTTTAGTGCCTGCTTTGTTTCAGATTACTTTAGTCCTGAAATCCTTACACCCCTATAGGATTACCACCCGTTAAGAGCTCTAAACGACCAAGCTAACAGTTCAGTGCTTAGGTTCTTAGTGTCATACCACGCTCCTACCTTAAGAGCTCAATTTAATGTAGCTACTATTTGAGAGGCGTAGCTTGATGAAAATTCCTACTCCGCCGCTACAGGCCATCGCGGCATTAACCCGCACTGCATCTCCCAGTTCCTTCGAGAGCGCGGGGGCGTGGGAGGATCTGGCTGGAGGGAGGCGGGGTCAGGGGCTCAGGCTCCTCCTCTGGCCCCTCCTCTCCGGGCTTTGCTTCCGGGTCTTGAGGGTGGCCACGTCATCCCCAGGCTTTCCTCGCCAGGCGGGCAGTGGATGGTGGGAGCCAAGATGGCAGCGGCAGCCAGTATTCGAGAGAGGCAGACAGGTACCGACTAATTCCTTCTCCCTGCAGTTTCGGGTCTGCCACGACAACAGCTTTTCCTGTGCTTGTCGCCCTCGGTCGTGATGCGTGCCGCTCAAATACCGACCTCCAGGAGTTTAATCCGGTCCTCAGAACATCAAGAGCCCCTCCCCTTCGAGTTCTTGGGGAAGAGATGCCATTGGGACTCGGCCCCTCCTGTGGTGCCGGAGAAGGATCTTCTGGGTTGGGCCCGTTGCTTCGGTCCCGCTCTTGTCTCTTATTGCCGGGCCGCAGAAGGCCAGAAGATGGGGCAGTTGGTATTTCCTGTGTTGCCTTCTGTGAGGTTTCTGGGTTTGTTTCTGTGCGTGGTTCGGTTCTCCCAGTTGGTTGAAAGAACTTCACTTCCCGACACTTGTACCACGATTACAAAATTTAGATGTTCTTTCAGAGCGGCTTACTTTGTGCCATTTTTTTTTTTTTTTTTACATCGGACCAATCTTTTGGGGGTACCTGAAGAAAAATGCCTGGTGATAAAGATTTCCTTCTTTCCTGGAAGGGATTGAAGAATGGCATACACGAATGGATTAACAGCTTTCCCATTTTAATTGTTTGACAGATTCGTGCTTTAAGAGAATACATTGTTAGTTTCATCTTCAATAGGACATGTTTATGTAGCTTCCATTTACGCCAAGGAAATGTGGTAAAGAAAAGATTGCATATTCTTCCCATGAGTTTTGGGGTTTTTTCCCATTTTTTTCCTTTACCTTATTCTGTGAAAACTTTTCATCGCAATTTGGTATACTCTTAGCTTGACAACTTTCTTTCAAGACAGTTAGCTATTCTGAGGAGCTAATAGAAATAAGCCATCAAGAATATACATACTTGGAAATTTTGTCTCCTGGAATTATGCTCTTTTGCATATAAATTGAATAGAAAGATAATTAGTTACAATTAATATGACCTACAAAAGGGATTTGGACTGTACTTGATTCCTTCCTTTGACATTTAAAAAAAATTAATGATAGACTTCAATCTAGTAATAACACGTAAAGCATACTGAGTTGTGTTCTATTTTCCCAGTAAATAATTTAGTATAACCTATCAGATGAAATCAGGCATAACTTAAATAGAGGAAAAGTCCAAATAAGATCTGGGTATACCTACCATTCATCTTATCTGTGTAAGCAAGTAGAAGCCCCATTTGTCTTATCACTGTGTTATAGCTTAATGAAGCTAAATGAATTAGGTTATACTCCGTATTTTTAAAAAACATATTGGTAAAACAAGTACCAGAGCAAGGGAGCTTTTTGAAAAATTAAATCTGCATAGCAATTTTTATATTCAAAATTAGTAGAATATTAAAATCTAATAGTTTATATTTCTGCAGCAGTAAACATTATGGTAAAATTTTACATTATTACTAGATAGGTTGTGCTAGATCCATTATTTATCAAATTAATTGAGTTCTGTCTTATTTTCTGAGGACAGTAAGGCCCTGCATATGTGATCAGTAGCAGAATTCAATATTTCCTGTGTGCCTATTAAGAATATTTTGGGAAATAGCACAACCTTCAAATATGGTAGATACAGGACACTGTGATATGAAGGCATTTGCAATTAATTTGAGCAGATGAGATAATATTTGATACTTACTGAGCATTTACTATTCCCAGGCATTGTTTTAGATTATTTTGTATGTTTTATTATCTCCATTTTACAGATGAGGAAAGTAAGGTATAGAGAAGTTAACTAAAGTGTCTATTTCTTGCTTTGCCTGCCTGAAGAGGCTTTATTGATCCTCTAAAGGTTCTCTAAAGCCATCTCCTTTGTGAATATTTCCTGGATCTCTCCCTTTACTGTGCTTATCTTTCAATTCTGCAGACAGAATCCGTTGCTTCCTTCTGTGTGTTACTGTTATCCTTCACGCGGGCCTCTTTGTTACAAGTTTTTGCATTTTCTCTGCTTCTCAGCATTGCAGAGTCCCATATCAACTGCTTTATCCAGATCTACTATAGTGATCTCATCTAGCCTCTTTGCTGAAAGTATTGTCTATAGGTTAATAATTCCCAAGTTTACATTTCAAGTCTGGACCTCCCCTCTGAACTTAGTCTACTCCATATCTGCTCAAGTCAAAAACCTTGAAGTTGCTTCTCTATTTCACATCTCATATCACATCTGTCAGTAAATCTTGTCAGTTCAACTTGGTATCCAGGATCTTACCGCTGTCATTGCTATCACCTAGATCCAATATGACTAAATTTCTTCAGTAACCTATTTGGTCTCCTTGCTCTTACAACCCTGTTCCCTTTATTTTCCACACAGTACCCAAACTGATCATGTCATAGATTTGCTCAAAACCTTTCAGCTGCTTCCCATTTCAATCATGGTGAAAGCCAAAGTGATCTTATAGTGATCAAGGTGCTATATGATCTGATCTTCACTTACCTTTCTAACCTCATGCCCTGTTACTCTCCCTTTTCTTTGAATACACCAGGAATTTTCCCATCTTCAAGCCTTTGTATTTGTTTTCTCTTTCTGGTATGTTCTTTCAGAAATAATCTGTAAAGCTCACTCCCTCGCCTCCTTTAGGTCTTTACTCAAATGTTACCTTCTCAGGAAGCCTTCCCTGGTTGCTCTGTTTAAAATTACACCCAATACTGCCTTCCCCTTTCTCAATCTTATTTTTCTCCATAGCACATACCATAATTTACATACCATATATTTAACTTACTTTGTTGATTGTCTTTCTCCATCAACTAGCGTGAAAGATACTTGAGGTAATTTTGTTCAGTGCTAGATCCCCAGAACTAGAGTGCATAGGATAAGGACTCACTAAATATTTGTTGAACGAATAGTGAATGAAGTTGATAGCATTTGTTCAGGAAATGAGTGAGGAGAACATTCCAGTTAAAGGTGAAGCTGCATTAACCAAATCTAGGAATGTGGATACAGGTTGGGTATTCCTTATCTGAAATGCTTGGTAACAAAAGTGTTTCAGATTCGGGAATATTTGCATTGTTACTGGTTGAACATCCCAAAACTGAAAATCTGAACGTTGTGTTGGCATTCAAAAAGTTTCAGATTTTGGAGCATTTCAGATTTTCCTACTTGGGATGCTCAACCTATAGTATGTTTAGAGTTAATAGAGACAACTTGTTTGTTGTTTCAGTTAAAAGCTATGATTTAAGCTTAGAGAATTAAATTGATGAAAGCAAAGTGGCATTCTTGTACATTCATTGAAGAACAAATCCACTGTGTCAGAATACCTTTTACCAAGTTAGCTGAGGCTCGGAACTGGAGAAATTCTCCTAGATAGGGCTAAGAAGGCAGATATAGGATTATCTATCAGCTACTACTGGCCTCTTTCAGTTAGCTAAGGTCTAACTTTGGAGAACACTAAATACCTGTGTCTCACATGGTACCCAGGCTATAGTTCTTCAAGATGTCATGTGTCAAAATTTTGAACAGAAGTTCCTAGAAGCAAGGCTTTCTCTTTGTTGGGCCATGAGCACCGGAGGTGGTGGTGTCTTTATTACCTGGAGGCAGGAGAAAGAGCTCCTCAAATGCACAGTAGGAGAGTTAATCCTGGAGCATCCTCTGTGCCTCCTGTGTTACTTCAGTTTTAAATATGAAACTGTTTTGTTGTTGCTTATGTGTGTGTGTGTGTGTGTATATATATACATATATATATTTTTTTTTTTTTTTTTTTTTGAGTTGGAGTCTCACTCTGTCACCCAGACTGGAGTGTAGTGGCCGCTCCCGGCCACCGCAGCCTTGACCCTCTGGGCTCCGGCGATCCTTCCACCTCAGCCTTCCAAGTAGCTGGAACTACAGGCGTGTGCTACCACGCCCGGCTGATTTTTGATTTATTGTAGAGATGAGGGCTTGCCAAGTTGCCCAGGCGGGTCTCGAACCCACGGGCTCAGGCAATCCAGCTTTTGAATATTTTTAACACCTGTGAGCCTCTGAAGTAGGTGTAAATTATTGGTAATGTATATTATTGACTGAACATTGGTATAAAGCTAACACTTTCCCAAAAGTATGTCTATGTACATACAAAAGTGTACACGTATATCACTGAAGTTCTCTCTCTTCAGTGACAGAGGTGTTACAGCATGTACCTACCTCAGCAAATAAGCATTTAATAGAAGTATTTCTAGGGAGTGAATGAGAAAATTGATACTCAGGTTATTATGGTATAATATAGTTTTCTGTTATGACTTCGTAGTGTGGGTACTCTGTTTTACTTAATATAACCTGATTCAAATGCTTTTAAGAGTTAACCAAACATATTGAAAGATTATCACTCTTTTAAAAATTAAATCATTTAATTAATACACTCCCTTGAATATTTTGCCATCTCAACTCACCAACAAGTATATATTAAGGGGTTTTCATTTTCCTTCGAAAATAGTTCTGAACCTGCTGTAACACATGAACAGATGAGCAATAAAAACTACAAAATACTATAACATATATTATAGCATAACTTTTCTTAGCCAGAGGTAATCACATCTGTGGGAATGTGTCCGTTTTCCCAGGAAGTATAGAATTGTAAGCAGTATAACTTTTTGGTGAATTTAACAGGTTATAAAATGTACTTCTAGGTAATTAAAAAATAGACCTGCTGTATGAGAGTTTTGTATATAAACCAATTAAATGTGTCATAAATACTTTTATTCTTAGAAACAGTGATCTTAATTTACATTTTCAGTCAGACAGTAGATTACAGCATCAATTATCTATTGAGGCCATTGAAGTTCATGATTGAAGAAATTTCTCTTTGTATCTTTATAAAATGTAGCGTGAAATTGTCAGGAGAAATGGAGAATGCTTCTTCCTGAACATTTTCCATAATGTCATCTGGTGACAGATGCCTATTGTAATTAAGAAAACCTCCCAGATAAAATGCCAATTAGCTGTTGAAAGAATGGTCTTACAAGATCTGACCTCTAGTTGATCTGTACATTTTGCTTGGGCGTAGTAAATAATGAATGTGGAAGAAAGAACATCCTAGGAAACCATGCTAATATTTGATAAAACTTTTTTGTTGTTGTTTTCATAAAATTATTTTTTATTTTCAGTGGCTTTGAAGCGTATGTTGAATTTCAATGTGCCTCATGTTAAAAACAGCACTGGAGAACCAGTATGGAAGGTAAGAGTTTACCTTAATAGAAACTAGTTCCTGCTGTTCTCAGCCCTTATTGATATTTGGAGAGAGTTTCTTGTAATGTTGAACTAATAACATATTTTAGTTATAATGCACAAATAGTTTATTTTCATTTAACATGGTATCTTAATCTTTTTGATAAACATTCTGTGGAGTGAGATGGGCAATAAAATAGTAATATTCATCTAGAAAATCTGGTTGCCCTCTTGGGTGGGGTCTCACTGATAGGTCTTTACCCTAGTTAACATTTTGTTCCTTTTCAAATCTATACTTTGGATTTATGAGTTATAAGACTATTAATTGAACTAGAAAGCAATCTACAATTTTTCTTCTTTGAGAAATACTAGAAAGCCTTAAAAATTCCTGTTGTTTGGACTTCTTCATTTTAAATTTTATACTATTTCTTTCTTCATAGTTGATTAAATTTAAGCTTACACGTTTACAATCACTTTATACTTCTGCCTTGCTAAGAATTAAGAAAAAGTCAACTTGGTTAGAATTTGGGATGTTTTGAAAACTCTCATGAGTCCTTATTAATCCTTTGGGTGAATCTTCTAAAGGTGGTTAAAGTTGCTTGTATTAATTCAGAGTTAAGTTCTAGAGTGTTCCCTAATTTTCCCTTTACTTTCTGTTTCTCTGTGGGCATCGTCTTACTGCCCTGTCCATAAACTATACTTTTTTGTTTCTAAGGCCTGTACCAAGCTTTTGAATTAAATAGTCAATTAACTTTTCCTATCCATCATTTTTAATCACAAGATTAATAGTATAGGTGTTTTGACATCTAAAGAGGGAAGATTTTTGAGAGATGCAACATCTAGCCTTTTGTAACTAGAACAGAAAGATTTTTAGCTTCTGTAAAAGAAATCCTGGAATTCAGGAAAAACATGTTTTTATACTAGCATGTTTTAATCTCATTAGTTTCTAACTCCATTAAGAATTATCGAGTTAGTTGTGAAAAATGCTTACCAGTTGAGGATTTCTTTTATTTGCCTTAACTCTAAAACTAATTTTAAGTTAGGGAACCCACTACCACTATCCGAAAGTGTCAGTTTTAATACTTAGGAATGTGAGGCTTTGCGTTTGATAGAATAAGGCTATTAAGTACTCTTTAGGGACTTAATTTTTTTAAATGATTACTTATTAAATTACTAAATTTTTATTATAGTCATGGAATTTGTTATATATTCATTTTTAAAGTGGCTAATTTTTACATCTCTGTTTTTAGAAAGGATAAATGTGAACTGGAAAAAAGTAGGGGAGTGAATGTGAGTTTGCTCTATGGTCAAAGTCCTTTATTATAGTTTAAGATAAAAAGTTTATAGTCTCTAACTTTTTTTTAACCTAGACAAGTTATTTTGTAAGAATAAATTTATATAATTATTGATTTATATTAGCATAAGTAGTGATTCTTTTCAGATTGTATTACTGCTTGGGTGACAGTTTTGATTAATAATGATAGAAAATACTAAATTAGCCGGGCTCGGTGGCTCAGCCTGTAATCCCACGCCTTTGGGAGGCTGAAGTGAGTGGATTGCCTGAGCCTGCGGGTTCGAGACCCGCCTGGGCAGCGAGACCTCATCTCCACAATAAATCAAAAATCAGCCGGGCATGGTAGCACGTGCCTGTAGTTCCAGCTACTTGGAAGGCTGAGGTGGAAGGATCGCCAGAGCCCAGCAGGTCGAGGCTGCGGTGGCCAGGAGCGGCCACTGCACTCCAGTCTGGGCGACTGAGTGAGACTCCAACTCAAAAAAAAAAAAAAAAAAAAAAAAAGAAAATACTAAATTGAAGCAAGGTTAAGAATTTATATACATGATTTATTAAAATAAAATTTACTTCAGCATTGTCTTATTATAGGTTCTCTATTGGTTGATAATTTTTAAAAAATGTTTTTTTTAATAGGTGCTCATTTATGACAGATTTGGCCAAGATATAATCTCTCCTCTGCTATCTGTGAAGGAGCTGAGAGACATGGGAATCACTCTGCATCTGTGAGTTTTAACATATTTCTAATAGTGGCATTTATTTTCAGATACATTATTAACAATATCTTTGACCACCCTGAAATCAAGTTATTAATGAACATTTATAGAGACAAATAATGTTAGGTTATAGTATTTATATAGTATTGAGCATATTCCCCCATATCTTCTTTTATTCAACCCTTTATTTCTAAGGTTAAAAAAAATTCTCAGTCTGAGGCTTTACAATTTCAGAATTTAAATTTTCTCTCTTATGTCTTTTCCTGCAGTAAAGGAAAAGAACTGGTCATCTTAATGTATGGAAGTTCCTTGATTCACAATGGGTTGCATCCCCATAAAGTTATCTTAAACTGAAAATATTGTAATTCACAAATGCATTTATTACACCTAACCTACCAAATATCAGAGCTTAGCCTATCCTACCTTAAACGCTCAGAGCACTTAGATTAGCCTACAGGTAGGTAAAATTATCCAACACAAAGCCTACTTTATAATAAACTGAATATCTGGTATAATTGAATACTGTACTGTATTTAAGACTGCACTAAAAGTGAAAAACAGAATGGTTGTATAGGTGCTAGAAGTACGGTTTGTATTGAATGTTTATTACTCTTGTACCATCGTAAAGTCAAAAAATCGTAAATCAAACCATCATAAGTCAGGGACCATCAGTACTTTTTTTAAAAAGTGGAATATTTAAATTAGTTTATCATGAATATGAAAAATTTAAGTGACTATGTTGTAATGACTATTAATTACTGTAGGATGCTATCTACATTGTCTTAACTATTAAATTTGTTTAATTATATTGCTTCCGATGTGTTTGATAAAAATAAAACAAATTGTATTTACTTTATAGACTTGCCTAACAGAACATTTGGAGAGAGACTTTTCATGTATAGATACTAATAATTCTATATACTCAAGGACTCAAATTTTATGGTGTTCTATTTGCATCTGATTCTCTTTATGATGTTATAACCAATTTTTATTCTGTAGTATTATCACATATTGAATTGAAATGTACTAATATTTTAGATTTTGAGTGACCAACATCAGTATCTGGTTTGATCAGCTTAAATTCTATTGTATAGTAAGTATGTATTAAAATTAATGAAATATTATATTGTGTCCTTTCTAAATACACTTTTTTTTTTTCTATTTCTGAAATTAGGAATATCACTGATGGCATGTCATAGTTGGCATCATTTTTATTTCTCAGTGACATAGAAAATATATTTTAAAATTGATAGCACCTTAGTTTTCATGAAATATGGAATTTGATGAATTTTTCCTTTTTTTAATATATATTTTTTATTTTAAAATTGTGGGGTACAGTTAAGGGTTAGGTATACAAATATGCATTGTATAGGTACCCTTGTTGATGAGGTGTGCCCTCCCTTCCCCAGACAGATATTGACTACTGTTAATCCCATTTCCCTTCCCCTCCCTGCCCCCCCCCATAGTTTCCTGCCACTGTCAATCCTTTTCTTATAGTATTACGGTAGTTGTTCAAGGTCTACTTATGAGTGAGAACATGTGATACTCAGATCTTTGTTTCTGTGAGAGATCACTCAGTATTATAAACTATAATTCCATCCAGGTTGCTGCAAAATTCATGATTTTGTTCTTTTTTATGGCTGCGTAATATTCCATTGTGTATATGTACCACATATTTTTAATCCAGTCATCTTTTGATGGACAGCATGGTTGGTTCCATGATCTTGCTATTGAGAACAATGCTGCAATAAACATACATGTGCAGGTATCTTTTTTATAGAGTGATTTGAGTTCTTCAGGGTATATTCCCATAGGGGGATTGCAGGATCATATGAAAGTTGATTTTTAGAGCTTTTGAGGAATCGTCACATTGATTTCCACGGAGGCTGTACTAGTTTACACTCCCACCAACAATGTAAAAGTATTCCCTTTTCACTATATCCTCTCCAGCATCTGTTATTTTTTGAGTTATTGATAATGACCATTCTGACTGGAGTTAGGTGGTATCTCAGTACAGTTTTAATTTGCATCTTCTTGATGACTAGTGAAGTTGAACATTTCTTCATGTATCTGTTGGCCGCTCGTTTGTCTTCTTTTGAGAAGTGTCTGTTCATACCTTTTGCCCACTTTGTAATAGGGTTGTTTGCTTTTTTCTTTTCAGCACGTTTGAGTTCCTTGTAGATCCTTGATGTTAGGCCTTTGTCAGACATGGAATTGGCAAATACCTTTTCCCAGTCTGTGGTCTGTCTCCCTGCTCTCTTGATGATTTCTTTGGCTTTGCAGAAGCTTGTCAGTTTAATGAGGTCCCACTTGTCTATCTATCTCTTATGGCCTGTGCATTTTGGGTTTTGCTCAGGAATTGGATGCCAGTTCCAACTTCCATAAGGGTGTGTCCTGCATTTTCTAAAATTCTTATGGTTTGAGGTTTTACATTTAGGTCTCTGATCCATTTAGAGTTAATTTTTGTGTATGGGGATAGATAGGGGTCCTGTTTCAATCTTCTGCATGTGGTCAGCCAGTTTTCCCAGCACCATTTACTGAATAGGTTCTCCTCTCCCCAGTGGTGGGTGGTAGAGGCTTTGTTGAAGATGAGTTGGCTAAGAAATAGAGGTTTTACTTCTGGAATCTCAGTTCTATTCCATTGGTTTATATGCCTGTTCTTGTACCAATACCAGACTGTTTTGATTATTGTAGCTTTATAGTAAAGTTTAAAGTCTGGTAGTGTGATACCTCCTGCTTTGTTTTTGTTTTTGTTTTGCTGAGGTTTGTTTTGGCTATTCTTGGTCCTTTGTGTTTCCATATGAATTCCTGTATTGTTTTTTCTAGATCTGAGAAGAATGTGGCTGGTAATTTAATGGGTATTGCATTAAATCTGTGGATTGCCTTAGGTAAGATGGACATCTTAACAATGTTGAGTCTTCCAATCCATGAGCATGGGGTATTTTTCCACTTGTTTGTGTCATCTTTGACTTCTTTGAGCAGTGTTTTGTAGTTTTTATTGTAAAGGTCTTTCACGTCTCTGGTTAGGAAGATGCCAAGGTATTTCTTTTGTGTGTGTGTGGCTATTGTGAATGGGATTGTGCTTTTTATTTGGGTTTCTGTTTGTTTATTATTGGCGTAAAGAAATGCGATTGTCTTTTGCACATTTCTTTTATACCCTGAGACTTTGCCAAAGTCCTTTATCAGTGCAAGGAGGTTTATGGCAGATTCTCTTGGGTTTTCAAGGTATACAATCATGTCATCTGCAAAGAGAAATAACTTGACTTCCTCTTTTCCTATTTGGATACCCCTAATTGCTTTCTCTTTTCTGATTGCTCTAGCCAGGACTTCCAATACTATATTGAACAGGAGGGGTGAGAGTGGGCATCCTTGTCTTGTTCCAGTTTTCAGGGGAATTGGTTCCAATTTTTGTCCATTTAGGAGTATGCTGGCTGTGGGTTTCTCATAGATGGCTTTTACTATTTTGTGGTATGTTCCATGTATGCCTAGATGTTCGAGGGTTTTTATCAAGAAGGGGTGCTGGATTTTATCAAAAGCTTTTTCTGCATCTGATGATATAATCATGTGGTTTTTGTTTTGATGTCTGTTGATGTATTTAATTACATTTATGGTCTTACAAATGTTGAACTAGCCTTGTGTCCCAGGGATGAATCCTGCTTGGTCATGATGGATGATTTTTGAGGTGTGGTGTTGAATCTGGTTTGCTAGGGTCTTGTTGAGAATTTTAGCATCTATATTCATCAAAGATATTTGGCCTGTAGTTCTCTTTCTTTGTTGGGTCTTTACCTGGCTTGGTATCAATGTGATGTTTGCTTCATAAAATGATTTGTGGAGAGTTCCATCTTTCTCAATCTCCTGGAATACTTTCAGTAGGATTGGTATCAGTTCCTCCTTAAAGGTCTTATAGAATCATCTGGTCCAGGGCTTTTTTTGGTAGGTAGTTTTCTTATGACATAGTCAATTTCCTTGATTGTTACTGGTCTATTTAGGGTCTCGATTTCTTCTTGTTTCAACCTAGGCAGGTTGTGTGATGTCAGAAAGTCCTTCATTTCCTTAAGGTTTTCATGTTTGTTTCCATACAAGTGTGCATATTAGTCTCTAATGATCTTTTGTATTTCTTCAGGGTTAGATGTGGCTTCATCTTTTGTGTTTCTGATTGTGTTTATTTGGGCTTTTTCTCTTTTTTTCTTGGTCAGTCTAGCTAGGGGACCATTGATCTTGTTTATCTTTTCAGAGAACCAGCTTTTTGTTTCGTTGATTTTTTTGTATTTTTATCTTCTATGTCCCGGATTTGGGCTTTTATTTTGATGATCTGGATTCTTCTGCTGAAGTTAGGGTTTTGGTGGTCTTGCTTTTCTAGCTTCCTTAGGTGACTTGTTAGGCTGTTAATTTGTGATCCTTCCATTTTCTTCATGTGTGTTTGTAGAGATATGAATTCCCCTCTTATTAGAGCTTTCATGGCATCCCAGAGATTTTGGTAAGATGTTTCTTCATTTTCATTTGTTGCCAGGTATCTTTTAATCTCTGTTTTGATTTCATCATTGACCCAGGAGTTGTTTAGCATCATGCTGTTTAGTGTCCATGTATTTGTGGGGTTTGGGGGAACCTTGGTGTTGATGGTTATTTTTATTCCACTGGTTCAAGAAGGTGCATGGCAAAATTTCGATCTTTTGAAATTTGTTTATGCTTGATTTATAGCCAAGTATGTGGTCGATCTTAGAATACGTTCCATGCGGTGATAAGTAGAATGTATATTCTGTGGTCATTGGGTGGAGTGTTCTGTAGGTATCAATTAAGTCCATTTGGTCAAGAGTCACATTGAGGTTCTGGATCTCGTTGCTGATTTTTTTGTCCTGATGATCTATCTAGAGTTGTGAATGGGGTATTAAAGTCCCTAGCTATGATAGTGTTAGTGTCAATATCTTTTTTGAGTTTACCTAGAAGCTGTTTATGAAAGTTGGCACTCCTATGTTGGGTGCATATATGTTTAGGATGGATATTTCTTGTTGATGGATTGAACCTTTTATCATTATGTAGTGGCCTTCTGTATCTTTTTAAATTTTTGATACCTTAAAGGGTATTTTGTCTGAGATTAAGATCGCGACTCCTCGTTTCTTTTGTGTTCATTCACCTGAAATTTTGTTTCCCATCCTCTTACTTTGAGTCTGTGAGTGTCCTTTCTCGTGAGGTGAGTCTCTTGGAGGCAATATATTGTTGCCTGGTGATATTTTATCCATTTTGCCATTCTATGTCTTTTCAGTGGTGCATTTAGTCCGTTCACATTTGGGCTACTTATTGAAATGTTAGAGTTGATCCCTATCATAAGGTTCTTATAGAGGAGTTGTTGTTGTTCTTGTTTGTTTGTTGTCTTTCTTTTGGTTTTGGGGTTGGTCCATGTGTGTTTTTAATCTTTTTCCTGTACTCTTGTGAAGAACGTTGTTGTTCTTTTTTCCTTTTCTTCTGTGTTTGGTACTTTCTTAAGTGTTTCTTGTAGAGGTGGTCTGGTGGCAGTGTAAGTTCTTAGGGATTGGATATCTGGGAAAGATTTTAATTCTCCCTCACTGATGAAGCTTAGCTTGGCTGTGTAGTTTATTCTTGGTTGAAATTGTTTATCTTTTAGAACTTTGAAGATAGGGCTCCAAGCTCTCCTAGCCTGAAGGGTTTCTGTAGATAAATCTGCTGCTATTCTAATTGGTCTTCCATGGTAGATAATCTGACTTTTTTCTCTTGCTGCCTTTAGGATTTTTTCTTTTATACCTACTTTGTTTAGGTGAATTATTATGTGTCTGGGAGTTGGTCTTCTAGTTTGTTGTGTTGCAGGGGTTCTCTGAATCTCTTGTGTTTGAATTTTTGCATCACTGATGAGATGAGGGAAGTTTTCTTGAATAATTTCATGGAATGTTTGTTCCAGGGTGGTCTCTGTCTCTCTTTCTGCCTCAGGAAGTCTAATTATTCTTAGGTTTGGTCTCTTGGAGTAATTGCTCATCTCTTGAAGGTTTTGTTCTGTCTTTTTAGCTTCTTTTCTATGTTTTTGACCGTTTGAGTTAGTTCTATATTTTGGTCCTCAAGCTCTGAGATTCTTTCTTCTGAATTTTTCCTTTTTTAAAAAAATCTTTTTATTTTAAAAATGTGGGGTACAATTCGGCGTTAGGTATACAGATGTTCATTATGCAGCTACTTTTGTTGGTGAGGCATGCCCTCCTCCCCCTCCCCTGGCAGTTTCTCACTACTGCAGATCCCACCCCCACCCCGCCAATAGTTTCCCACTACTGCCAGTCCTTTTCTTATAATATTACAATAATTGTTCAAGATGCGCTTATGAGTTAGATTGTGTGATACTCAGGATACTCAGTTATTTGTTTTGTGATAGATCGCTCAACATTATAGACTCTAAGTCCATCCAAGTTGCAATGAAGTTCATAATTTTGTCCTTCTTTAAAGCTGTATAATAGTCCATCATGTATATGTACCACATTTTTTTAATCCAGTCCTCTTCTGATGGGCAGCACAGTTGGTTCCATGTTTTTGCTGTCATGAACAATGCTGCAGTAAACATGCATGTGCAGCTATCTTTTTCATAGAGTGATTTGAGTTCCTCCAGGTATATTCCCAGTAGAGGGATTGCAGGATCATATGGAAGGTCAAATTTTAGATCTTTTAGGAATCACCAAACTGTTTTCCACAGAGGTTGTACTAGTTTATACTCCCACCAACAGTGTAGATGTGTTCCCTTTTCCCCACATCCTCTCCAGCATCTATTGTTTTTGAGTTATTGATGATGGACAACCTGACTGGAGTTAGGTGGTATCTCAGTGTGGCTTTAATTTGCATTTATTTGATGACTAGTGAGGCTGATACTTTTTTTCACGTATCTGTTGGCTGCTTATACATCTTCTTTTGAGAAGTGTCTATTCATATCTTTTGCCCACTTCATAATGAGATTGTTTTTTCTTTTTGGCACGATTGAGTTCCTTGTAGATTCTAGATGCTAGGCCTTTGTCAGATATATAGTTGGCAAGTATTTTTTCCCCATCTGTGGGCTCTCTCCCTGTTTTCTTCTTTGATTTTGCAGAAGCTTTCAGTTTGATGAGGTCCCACTTGTCTATCTTATCTGTTATGGCATGGGCACTTGGGGTTATGATCAGGAATTTTCCTTTCATTTTTATACTTAAAACACCAGTTTTCTTTGGTAATGTGTTAATTCCTATGGACTGAACTAAAGTTCAGTCTGATGCCATTCTTGTAAATTGTGGTTTATTAAAAAGCATTGGTTGCCATTAGTAATTGTTTAACTCCCTTATTCACTAATAAAAAGATTAAATTTAGACAGCTTAAGTGATTGTCCTAAGATTTTACAACGGGTTAATAGCAGAGCTGTGGCTGGATTGCTTGACCACTAATTCTGTGCTGTTTGTCTACTGAATCATAATGATTCAGTAACAGTGTCTAACAGAAGTGAGGCCTAACTCAGTACTTCCCTAACAGGTGACAGAATAGTCTGTTTTGAATTTAGGAATAGCCAGTTTGAGAATTTAGGAATCTGCCTAACCCATTGCTGTTGCCACCAGAATTTGAAAAGATTACACACCTACCAAGGTGAACTTCTTTGTACCTTGCCTCTAATTATTCCCTATTTGCTTGAGAATACTTCATCAGTTACTTTATACTCTGCAAGTCTGTTTAGACTAATTTGTAGGTAACAATAATTGGAAGTTTCCAGAATATGAAATGGTGGTTGTAGCCCTTTAGGCAGTTGGATAGCCAATGTAAAAAAGATAACAGTTTATGGCAACCACCACATTATCCTTCTCAGCATTAATAGCAGCAACCAGACAGATGGAAGAAGTTATTAAATGTAGACCCACTGGCAGCATGTGCCTCTTTTTTCTGTTTTGTAAATTACAGAAGGATGACTACAGAGAGAAGAATAGTGTAGAAATAGAATGTTAGTCACATTTCCTGATACAAGCATAGTAAAATCTTATAATGAAGAATAAAGATATTTTGTGATTTGACATTGGGATATGTATTTATTTATTTATTTTTTGAGTCAGAGTCTCACTCTGTCACCCAGAATGGAGTGCAGTGGCTGCTCCCGGCCACTGCAGCCTCGACCTGCTGGGCTCCGGCGATCCTTCCGCCTCGGCCTTCCAAGTAGCTGGAACTACAGGCGCGCGCTACCACACCCAGCTAATTTTTTGATTTATTGTGGAGATGAGGTCTTGCCAAATTGCCCAGGTGGGTCTCGAACCTGTGGGCTCAGGCAATCCACTCACCTCAGCCTCCCAAAGGCGCGGGATTACAGGCTGAGCCACCACACCCGGCGATATTGGGATATTTAAATGAAGATATTTCCTGAATTGTAAAAAGAAAAAACTATACACAATCTATATAATCCTTCAATCTCTTGGAACATTCTCTTATGAAGCAGTAAATACACAAAAATAGATTATCTTTAAGTTTTAAGGATACATTTATATGCCTTTTATTTTAAAAAATATATTTGATTTCACATATAGTTAAATTTTTTCAGTGGGGCATGATGGCTCATGTCTGTAATCCCAGCACTTTGGGAGGTTGAGGTGGAAGGATTGCTTGAGGCCAGGAGTTTGAGACTGCCTGGGCAACACAGTGAGATGCAATTTCTACCAAAAAAAAAAAGTCAATTAGTAAAAACTATTAAAAATTACTTTTGTAGCTTCTGAAAAATTGTAAAATTTCTTCATTGCATCCTCTAGCTTTCTGTTTTCCCTCATAGAGTCACACTTTCCTCCCATTTATCCTTACTCCAGCTACTTCCATGTTTCTATGAAAAATGGGAATAAAATTGATTTTGAAATGTACTTTAGTTCTCATTCAAGAAGAATGTTGGTTGAAGAGAATTCTAACCATAAGTGGTTTTAAACTAAGGTGAACAGAATAGAACAAATCAAGACTAACAAGAAATTAAGATCTTACTAGTAAATAATATTAACACTGACATGAGGAAAAAACTGCATTAACTAACTGATTAGTTGCAGCAAGAGCTTTTAGAGCACTAGTTGCTGTCCTTGAGCTGGTAAACTCCCAGTTTGAGAAATACTGTTGTAAACTGTCTTTTTAGATCAGTGACTAAACAGAAATAAGTTTTATGTTCTCTCTGTCTTTTAGCCTTTTGCACTCTGATCGAGATCCTATTCCAGATGTTCCTGCAGTATACTTTGTGATGCCAACTGAAGAAAATATTGACAGAATGTGCCAGGTAACATAGGTTTTTATTTTTCCAATTCTTGCATTTGGAAACTTAAAAAAAAAAAAAATCTTAGGTGTCCAATGTGAAGAATGAGAAATTCACTTGCCTAGTTTTCTACTCTGATTTTTGAGACTATTTTAATTTTAAGTAGCTTGAAAGAGTTCAAACTTTTGGCTGTAGAAGCATCATACTATAGTTTTCCCCTTATCCGTGGTTTTGCTTTCTACAGTTTTAGTTATCCATTATCAGCCAGGTACTGAATACTGAATATATTACAATACCAAAAAACGTTACAGCATTTTGAGAGGGAGATCACACTCATATAATTTTATTACAGTATATTTAGTAATTGTTTCATTTAATTATTGTTGTTAATCTCTCACTTGCCTAATTTATAAATCAAACTTTATTAAAGATATATAGCTCTAGGAAAAAACATATGGGAATTTGAACTATCTGAGATTTCAGGTATCCACAGAGGGTCTTCGAATATAACCTCCACATAAGGGAGACTACTATACTAGTAAAGACTGAGTCTAGCTTTAAAAATCAGAAAGCTGTTGGGCACCGTGGCTTACGGCTATAATCCCAGCACTTTGGGAGGTGGAGGTGAGAGAATTGGCTAAGCCCATGGGTTCGAGGCCAGTCTGGGCAACACGGCGAGACCTCATCTCTACAATAAATCAAAAAATTAGCTGGACTTGGTGGCACACACCTATAGTACCAGCTACTTGGAAGGCTGAAATGGAAGGATCGCCGGAATCCAGTAGGTCAACTCTGGGGTGGCCATAAGTGTGCCACTGCACTCCAGTCTGGGCAAGGGAGGGAGACCGACTCAAAAATAAAATAAAATAAAATAAAAATCAGAATGCCTAACTATATTAGCTTTAGTTATAGGGTTTTAGTTTTCTGATATAATCGGAAGGGTGGGAGTAGGAAGTCCACACTGGTGCAGGAGCACTATAAGGTAATTAGAGACCCAGGCTCCTTCTGTGTCTTTCATCCAGTGTCTTGGGTTTGGTGGTTTTCATTACCTTGCTTATTGCTTCATGGATGTAAGATGCTAGCTGCAGCTGTAGATATCACACGTATGATTATGACAAGAAGATGGGAGAAGTGAACTATGTAGACTCTGGCTGTTCAGTTTGCTCAGGAAAGCTGAACCTTGCTAGAAACTCCCAGAAGAATTTATTTATGTCTCACTGGATAGATTAGCTACAAGGGAGGCTGCAAAGTCCATTTTTAGGTGAGTGTATTGCCACCTCAAACAAAATCTGGATTCTTTTAGCAAGAATAAGGAGGGAAATAGATATTGCATAGGTAGCTAACAGTATCTGCCACAAGTCACAGTATCTTTACTTGTAATTGACCTTTGAATCAAATTGTTACTTAAATTGCTAATGCAGTTTACATATTTTGTGTCCTGTGTAGCTTCATGATACCTACCTTTCTCTTTTATTCTGCGTAAACTCTACTATGCCATTTTTGAAAGAAGTATGACTTTTCAATTTCTTTCTCCTCTGTTTTTTTATAACTGCTTCATTGAAATATAATTCACATACCATACAATTCAGCCATTTAAAGTGCACAGATGTTTTTAGCATATCCACAGAGTTTTGCAGCCATCACCACAGTCAATCTTAAGGCATTGTCACTACCTCAAAAAGAAACCTTGGTACCCTTTAAATACTACATCCTCAACCTGCTCCCATCCCCTTCCATCCCTAAGCTACTTTCTATATATTTGCCTATGCGTAGCCATTACATATAAATGGAATCATAATATGTGGTCTTTTTGTATCTGGCTTTTTTCTCTTAGCATAATGTTTTCCAGGTTTATCCATATTGTAGCATGCATTAGTATTTTATTCCTTTTTGTGCCTGAGTATAATTTATTGTATGTATGGACCAAATTTTGCTTATCCATTTACCTGTTCATGGGTATTTGGGTCGTTTCTACCTTTGGGCTCTTATTAATAATGCTGCCATAAAATATTCATGTAAAAGTTTCTGTGTGGACATGTTTAATTTCTCTTATGTCCATAAACACATAGAATTGGAATTGCGTGGTCAAATGATAACTGTGTTTAACCTTTTGAGTAGCTGACAAACTGTCTTCCATAGTGGTTGCACCATTTTGTATCCCACAAGCACATATATGAGGGTTTTGATGTCTCCAGATGCTTCCCATACATTTATTTCATATTTTGATTACAGTCATCCTAGTGGGTATTAAGTGGCATCTCATTAAAGTTTTCATTTGTATTTCTATCACTAAAGATATTAAACATCTTTTAACATGCTTATTGACCATATTTTGGAGAAATGTCTATTCAGACTCTTTGCCCACTTTTTAAATTAGGTTGTCTTTATTGTTGACTTGTTAGAGTTCTTTATATATTTTGACTTTTATCAGTTATTTTCTCCCATTTTGTGGGTTGTCTTTTCACTCTCTTCATTGTGTCTTTTGGAGCACAAACATTTTTAATTTTGATGATGTCCAGTTCTTGAGTTGCTTGTGCTTTTGGCATTATATTTAAGGAACCATTCTAAATTTTGTACTTTTCTCTAAGAATCTTATAGTTTTGGCTCTTATATTTAGGTCTTTGACCCATTTTGAGTATTTTTAATCTGATTTTTGTATATGGTGAGAGGTAGGTGTTCACCTTAATTCTTTTGCATGTGCCTAAACCAGTTATCCTGGCATCATTTATTGAAGAGACTATTCTTTCCCTAAGAAATGATCTTGGCAGCCTTGCCAAAAATCAGCCGACCATAGATACACTGGTTTATGTCTCAACTCTTAATTTTATTCCTTTGAGCTCTATGTCTGTCCTTATGCCTATACTATACAGTCTTGATGTCTATTGCTTGGTAGCAAGTTTTCAGATGGAGTCCTCCAACTTTGTACCTCTTTTTTCTGATTGTTTTGGCTTTTCTGGATCACTCAAATTTCCAAATGAATTTTAGAATTCACTTATCAGTGTCTACAAAGAAGCCACCTGGGGTTCTGATAGGGATTACATTGAATCTGTAGATCAGTTTGAGTAGTATTAACATCTTAATATTAAATTTTCTGATCCATGCACATGGGATATATTTTCATTTATTCATATCTTCATTTTGAAAAATGTTTAGTGTTTTTTAATGTTTAATGTTTGTTTTGTTTGTTTGCTTTTGAGTCAAGGTCTCGCTCTGTTGCCCAGGCTGGAGTGCAGTGCCATAATTATGGCTCATGATAGCCTTGAACTCCTGGGCTCAGGTGATCCTCCTGATTAGCTGGGACCACAGGTTTGCGCCACCCCACCCAGCTAATTTTTTTAATCTTTATTTTCGAAGAGATGAGGTTTTACTATTTTGCCTAGGCTGGTCTCGAACTCCTGGACTCAAGCAATCTTCCTGCCTTGGCCTCCCAAAGTACTGGGATTATAGGCATAAGCTACCGTGCCCAATCTCAAATCATTTTCTAAATTCCATTTTTAGGATTGTATAGGAATCCAATTGATTGTTATGTATTTATCTTGAATCCTGCAACCTTGCTGAATTTATATGTCCTTCTGTAATGTGTCCATCATTGCTTGACTACTTCCTTACTTTTTGGCACAATGGGATATTCCAGTATAGTCTGGGATTATACTTTTTCTGCCCCACACAGGATTCAGCCATTTGTCTTAAGGAGCCCTGGTTGCTTTCTATAAAGAATGGAATTTAGAAATCAGGATCTGGTCATTAGGTGTACTCACTGTGAGTAGAGTTATCACTTTTCTTAGTTTCTGTCAATGGACAAAACTGGGAACTCTCTATATATGTATACACATATACGCTTTTATATCTATATTTCTAGAACTCTCCCCCCTCCAAATAAATAGATAGTCTCTAAAACTGTTTTAGTTTAGCAACACAGAATTCATTCTAGCTTTCCTTTTGCCTTTGACAAATGTGTAACTCCTTTCTCTGATAGTGAGAAACATAGTTCCTAGTATCCTAAACATATTACTTACTTTCTTAGTACTCATATATATCCAGTGTTTGTTGAACCACCATCCTGCTTAGCTACTTGCCTCACGTGGGCTCCATACCCTCAGTTTATCATATTTTTTTTTTTGAGTTGGAGTCTCACTCTCACCCAGACTGGAGTGCAGTGGCACACTCCCGGCCACCGCAGTCTCGACCTGCAGGGCTCCGGTGATCCTTCCGCCTCAGCCTTCCAAGTAGCTGGAACTACAGGCGTGCGCCACCACGCCTGGCTAATTTTTGATTTTATTGTAGAGATGAGGTCTCGCCAGTTTGCCCAGGCAGATTTCAAACCCGCAGGCTCAGGCAATCCACTCGTCTCAGCTTCCCAAAGCGCTGGGATTACAGGCTGAGCCACCGAGCCCAGCTAATTTATCACATTTTAACATCTGAAATTAGATACATCTTAAAACTGATTGTGTGTCATAACATTTTATTGGCAGCATTAATACTTTATTAGTGGTACATAAAATGACACTTGTGACAATTGACATCTTAGATTTGAGGAAATGTGGTCATTTAGATAGTTACTTTCCTAGAGTTTAAGAACTTAAGTAAATTTGATTTAATAATTTGCATAACTTAAATTTCACTACTTTTAAGTAATTGAGAAGAAAAACATCTAGAATTAGTCATTGGAATTGTAACTTGTCTGTGGGCAATGAGGGAAGTATTCGCTGTGTCATCACATGACCAGGGAATTATATATGGCAAATAAAAGACTAAGCAATCATGCACTTATTTCCCATTTTTTCCCACTGTAGAGTCTGCCAAATAAGCATTTTACTGTATTAGAGAGCTACTTCTGAATATTTTTAAGAAAAATGAAGATAGGCTATATCAAAGCAATTTTGTGCTATATTGTAATCAATGGGATTTTGTTGATAATACAATTTCATAACCTTAGTTATTAGGATATATTTTAGTTATATCTGTTAAGCGGATAACCAGTACTTCTTCATAACTTTGTTCTCATGGGATACTTTTTAAATTATATAACCCGTCTTTATATATCTTATCTTCCAAAACCTTGCTATAATAGTATTTAAAAGATTTCTATTAGTGGTCTTCTTTATACTATCCTATAAGAATAAAGTATTCATTGTATTTATAGGATCTTCGAAATCAACTATATGAATCATATTATTTAAATTTTATTTCTGCTATTTCAAGAAGTAAACTGGAAGATATTGCAAATGCAGCATTAGCAGCTAGTGCAGTAACACAGGTAGCCAAGGTAAGAGATTTTGGTTGATTGATGACATTTTGTTAATGTAAAATTTAACAGTATTCTCAAATGTGTTAATTGGCATAGGTGTCTAATTTACAAACTACCAGAATAACCTATGAAATGTTTAGACTTGCTGTTTTCAGAAAGAGTTCTCATAATGTAAATTATCTTCAACTTGAACTAGGCAAAATAGACCAAACTAAAGGAACCTACTAGTTAATGAATTTGAAAAACAGAAACAAAAAGCAGAATGTGTTTTGCTTTATGCTAGGATTTGTATTTTTAACTCAGCTCAGAAATCATTTGACAGTTGTGTTATCATAAATTGTACTAAAAATATGTTGACATTGTTTTATCTGTAATTATTATAGTAACCATACTATCTCCAGATCTTTTTCTTACTGAGGAAAGAGGATCCAAAGAGGCTATTTTGCATATTATATGAAAAAGGAATTCACAACAGTTCAACATTATAGTCACTTTTTATTCAGGTTCAGTTTCAGTTATAAATCAGTTTATAAAATAGATTCCTGGTCAGGCATAATGACTCATGCCACTAAATCTGGCTCTTTGTGATGCTGAGGCAGGAGGATTGCTTGAAGCCTGCAGTTTGAGACCAGTCTGGGCAACATAGCAAGACCCTTCTCTATAAAATTTTTTTTAAAAATTAGCTGAGTCTGGTGGCACATACCTGTAGCCACAGATACTTGGGAGGCTGAGGTAGGGGGGTCCCTTAAGCCCAGGAATTAGAGGCTATGGTGAGCTATGATTGCACTACTGCACTCCAGCCTGGGCAGCAGTGCAAGACCCTGACTCAAGGAAAAAAAAAAAAAAAAAGATTTCTAGCTGTGTCCCTGTTGTGCCCAGTGCTTCTTGAATTTGGATAAGCCACAAATGAAAATTCCAGGGAATTATATAGGGCAAATAAAAGACTAAACAATCATGCACTTATTTCCCATTTTTTCCCACTGATTGATTTTTCATTTTTTGATTTATAAAGAACACTACTACTTCTGACTAGTTTTTGAGGCTCATGCCTTAATGTTCTTGCTCAAAATTTATTATTAGTTTCACATAAAATAATAGAAAGCATTTTTAATTCAACAGAACTTTAATGTATTTCAAGTAGTTCTTAATTTTTTTCCTAATTTGTATTTGCAAAGAATTGACATAACTTTTTCCCAGTTATTTATAAAAGTTCATGATGTAAAAACAATTACTGTGACTTTCTTAGCAAAGTGTGATTGATTAAATGAAAATAAAACTTAAAATTGCAGTTTTTCCCTCAAAATTGATATCCACTCACATCACAACCACAATTTAAATTCTTGTATCTGCTTAAATTTTTTTCTGAAAATATTATTCTCCTTGTTATTTATTGCCCTGTTGCCCACATGTTTATTTTTTAACGCTTTTCAATATTCTTAACTCTCATTCTTGTTCAGTTAGGCAATCTGCTATATAATACAACTTTTTGTTATTGATTGTAATTATCATTTTTACCATTGATAGGGTAAATCAAACTAAATTTGTTTTCAGTATGGCTGTATTATAAAATTGATTTGTAAACCTTTTCTTTTGTTTCTAGGTTTTTGATCAGTATCTCAATTTTATTACTTTGGAAGATGATATGTTTGTATTATGTAATCAAAATAAGGAACTTGTTTCATATCGTGGTATGTAAAAATTGTAATGTTGTCATTCTTTGCTAACAAAACAAATGTTATACTGTAAGAAAAACAATAGTGAACATATTTAGTGGACTCCAAAACAAGCTTTATTTATAGCAGTAGAGGAGTAAAAGATTTTTTAAAGCACTCAGAAAAGAACAAGTCTCAAACTGCATTCTGTCATATATAAACAACATTTAATAAACCTGTTGTAAATTCAGAGTACCAATTCTCTGACCATTTAGGTGCCCCCATAGCAACTAGCGTGAGTGGTTCACTCATGGCAAGTAAGACAATATTTTAGTAACAGAATTCAAATTAATTGTCTAATACTTTGACTTTTGACAAGAACAAGTTGCTTTACTTCTCTGTGTTTATGAAGCATTGGACAGGATGGTAAGCTTCCTGAGAGAAGAGAATATGACTCTTTCAGTTTCATTGACCTCTATAGCATGCTTTCTTATTGAAATTAAACAAATTTTCTGAAAACATATTAGTATTTGCTGAATTGTCCATGTGAAAGATTTTTGACAGTCATACACAGAAGTCTACTTACAGTTATTGAATTTGTAATTAATTAGCGGCTTGTTTAACATCTAGTTTTCCTTAAGTGTCTAAGTTAAACTTACAAATTTTGTTATTGTTGATAAATTTGGTAGAATAAAAACAAGCAGCATTGCTTTTTCCTTGATCAATTAATTCCAATTGAACAGGCTAAATTCTCCTAGTCAGTCCCATTTAACAAGATGAATCAGCAAACTTAATGTGCTATATTCCCTTAAACATTTCACATTGCTTTAATAAACTTAGTATGTCAAGTTTTCTTTTATAAGTACTGTAGTTTATATTCCAGACCAGGCAATTAAAAATCCAATAAGCAAAACCTTTCCAAATATTTAAATAATTTTTAAAAATTGTTAAATTTGTAATGAGTTTAAATTCATTAAACATTCAAATACTTATGCTTAATTAAATTCTCTTATACATTTCAACTTTGAAAAAAGATCACAAATCTGAAATTAATTACTAATTTTAAAGTGTAATCACATGGCTGATCACTTAGATTCTCAATAATAATAATAGTAGCTTGCACTATGCCAATCGATGCTTTGAGCACTTTACAATATAAGCCCATTTACTCCTCAGTATAACTTAATGAAGTAGTTGTTATTATTATTTCCATTTTCCAGATGAGAAAATGGAAGCATACAGCCATGAAGTAACTTGATGAGGAAATGGCAGAGCCAGGTTACTAAACGCAGGCAGTCTCACTCCAGAGACAGTGCCCTTTACCATTATGTAATTATATGCCAAATTCTCTCAAACATTTCAAGTGTTTTAACTAATAATCTTAAACAGGTACATAAATATATTAATACCATAGATTGCATTCCCTATCTTTTTATTATAAACTTTCCACGGATTCCGAATTTATCCAATAAAGGATGCAGATTTACCATCTTAGTCAAACTGAGTGAGGCTACTATCTTAAACAAACAAGCTGTTATCTCAAGGCTACTATCTTAAACAAGCAAGCTGTTATCTCAAAAAATTGATGGACATTTTGTGACTTTTACTTCTCACTCTGAGGTGTGGAACTAGAGTATAAGACCTAAGGCCTGGATGCATCCATGTAGATTTTGTCAGTGCCAATGATTATCAAAATGTGTCAGTGATATAACTAAGGGTCTTACGTGTCTGCAAAATTACCTGTGCCAGTGAGGAGCAAATGAACCAGATATGTGTTTCCCTGAATTGAGATCTCCTGAATTCACATAATTCACATTATATCCTTATGCCATTTCTTTCAACTGATTCAGATAGATGGCAGTCTGCAACACCTAAGTCACAGCACATTTCCTTCATCTGGATTCTGTGTTGCCTGTTTGAAGTTTGTATTACTTATGTGTTTTCTAGAGGGACCACACTTTCTTTTGATGCTTTGATATATCCAGTTGGATACTGTTTTCCTCTTATGTTCATCACAAATTTTACTAAGTATATATTTGTTTTCACATTCATTTTGTTGGGAAATTAAAACTGCTATGTAATAATATTTTTTGTTCAGTCAGTTTTTCAGCATAAAGTTATTGAACATCTAATTGTTAGACACTGGACCCAGATATTATGAAAGACAGGAAGATAAATAAGTCTTAGACTTTGATTATCAGGAGTGGTTCTTACAGTGTAGCCCCAATTTGCATTAAAATCACCTGGGGTACTTGTCAAAATTTCAGATTTCTTTTTTTTTTTTTAAGGTCTGAGTGTTTTATTTATTTTTTAAATTTTATTTTACAGATGTGGGATGCAGTTCAGGGTTAGGTATACAAACGTTGATTATGCAGGTACCCTTGTTGATAAGGTGTGACCCTCCCTCCCCTAGCAGTTTCCCTCAACTGCCAATCCCACCCTGGCATATTTCTTAGAATTATATCTAATCTATACAGAATCCCTAGAGCAATTGACTAAGAATCTTTAATTTTTAAAAACTTTCAGAGAAACTTCTTTTTCTTTCCAAATATTCCCAGGATTATCATTCCCACTAAAGTTTGGGAACTACTTATGTTCAAGTCTTGTAGATTAGAAAAGAAATTCATATAATTTAACATAAAGAAAATGATGTTTGATGTTGGTTTGGCCATAAGTGATTTCCACTGTCCTTTTCTGGCAGTAAGTAGTTATATTAATAGAATTAATAGTTTCTTGAGGCCATCTAATGTTTATGAATAAAATTATGTAATACAATATTTATTTTCCTGTTTGTCCTGGCAGAAACTTTGTACAGTTTATATGGTGGAGTTGTTTTTCTTGTTACTACTCTCCTGGTATCCGGTATTAAGATGGTTGGTTGGGCTTTTCTTTTTTTTTTTTGGTAGTTCAATTTTTGATAGATACTTGTTCAGTTTAAAGCAAAAAGTTTTACTTAAGAATTATATTATCGAACTACATATTGATTAGGAATTTAGTAATAATTTTAGGAATTTTATAAAGATAAGGGGTAAATTGGGCCTTTCTTTTCTCATTTTAGCCATTAACAGACCAGATATCACAGACACAGAAATGGAAACTGTTATGGACACTATTGTTGACAGCCTCTTCTGCTTTTTTGTTACACTAGGTAAGTTTTCAGATTTTTCTGGTTATTCCTTTAAAGTAGATTAATTATTTAACAACTCATTTTAACTGGGCTCAGTGGCTCAGCCTGTAATCCTGCGCCTTGGGAGGCTGAGGTGAGTGGATTGCCTGAGCCCGCGGGTTCGAGACCTGCCTGGGCAACTTGGCGAGACCTCATCTCTACAATAAATCAAAAAATCAGCCGGGCATGGTAACGCGTGCCTGTAATTCCAGCTACTCGGAAGGCTGAGGTGGAAGGATCACCAGAGCCCAGCAGGTCGAGGCTGCAGTGGCCGGGAGCGGCCACTGCGCTCCAGTCTGGGCAACAGAGTGAGACTCCAACTAAGAAAAAAAAAAAACTAACTCATTTTAATGTATTATACTATAATATGATCCTTTTTCACCTGAATGAATAGCTAGAGGCTCTCCAGAGTTGGAGAAATTCAATAGTTTATAAAAACATAATTCTTCTAATAACTTGATGTGGTTATTCCTCTTGAGTTAGCATTTAGCAGATCTATTGAATTGTCTTTTTAGATGTCTTTTATAATTATTACTTTCTAATATTGTTTGAGTGGTTTGGTGGTGACTTTTCCATGTGCCTGGTAATTTTCTTTTAATATTTCATTATGAAAAATTTCAAACATACTTTTAGATAGATGTATGCCTGATAACTACTATTAAGTTCAGATGTGCAAGTCTCCAGAAAACTCTGAACTTACATATAATGTTAATCTACCAATACTCTCAAAAGTTAAAATATTTCTTTACATTAGCTAAAGTTGCTTTTAACGTCATTGGTTTAATTATCTTAATTTATGACTTTATGTTTTACTATAACTAAGTGATCAGTTTAGAAACTTAATTGCAATTTTAATTTTGTAACCACTTAAAACCTTTCAGTTAAAATGATCCTCATGCTAGATTAATAAAATGTCTTTCCATTTCACAAATTAAAAGTAAAGGAAGAGATACTATGCATAGTTTAGGATTTAGATAAATGTTTGAGGAGAATTTATATGCAAATTTGGGGGCTTCCTTTCTTTCAGGGATTTTTAAAATTTCCAGTCCTGAACTCCAGTCTTTGATGCTTCACCTCAGTATGTCTCCTGTTTTCTGCTTGAGCTCTTTCTCCTATAAACCATACAAAATGGAAAGTAAACTATAGCACTAATCTGTGAATCCCTTCTTTCAAGAGTTTTATCTCCCTCTAGTTTCTTTCTGCTTTGAACTGCTCTTATTGCCCTTAAATGGATTGTTGTTGTTGTTTAAAAGGAAGCACATGTATACAACTTTCAGTCATTAAACAGATGTCATTATCTTTCTATTTTGTCATCCCAGACAATCTCCAAAGTTGCCAAATGTTCAAGTTATTGTGTACATGAAGGCTATTTCTGGTTAGTGATAGCTGTTTTCAAAGTAGAAGTAGATTGAAAAAGAGACCACTGAAATGTTAGAACCTCTATTATGCATTGAATATCAGAAGGTGATTTTCCCCCCCCAAAGGTGAAATTGACATTACTGCCAGTCTGGTTTAGAAGAATGTCAACACTAAATTGTTAAATGGGAAAAAGGCAAGTTTCATTCAGAACAGGGTGTGTCATATCCTGTTTTTGTTTTTTATATACACTTACATTTATTAGACTCTGTAGAAAACAACCTGAAAGTATTCGTTTCTGATTCTTTTTTTTTTTTTTGAGTTGGAGTCTCACTCTGTTACCCAGACTGCAGTGCAGTGGCGGCTCCCGGCCACCGCAGCCTCGATCTGCTGGGCTCCGGCGATCCTTCCGCCTCTGCCTTCCAAGTAGCTGGAACTACAGGCATGCACTACCACGCCCGCCTCATTTTTTGATTTATTGTAGAAATGAGGTCTCGCCAAGTTACCCAGGCGGGTCTCGAACCCATTTCTAATTCTTAATGGTGATTATTTGCAATAGGTTTAACTTTATACATTTCTAGTATTATTTAAGTGTTTTTGACATGCTTATATAATGCTTCCTAACATCATCAGAAAAATCACAGTTTTGAAAAATTGCCAATATGCCATATTTTTACTTTTGCGTTTGACTGGGTGTGCCTTCCTATAGAATCTAAAATGCAACAATTTCAACATATACTGTTCAAGATTACAATGTTCTCAGTTTCTTTTATGAGATTTTCATTGTAATTGTATTTTTAAAAAATTATTAGGACTTCAGTCTTTGATAAAACTTATTGAAGTAATAAAGGAAGAGAGAAATTAAAAGATCCGATAAGCTGATTGATGATGAATTAGACCAGCTTTTAGGCATATTTTATATTATATGAAAAATATTTTCTGTTATCATTTAAATCAGTATTTTTTTTTAAAAAGATGACAATTCTTTATTGTTAATTGTAAAATAAACAAAAAAAGTAATCCAAAACTGCTAAATTAAGATCTTTGTATTCTTTTATTTTAAGTCAAATTAAAGTGAGTCCTTTGAGTAGAGAATAAGCTCATTTTTTGAAACTGCCTTAGGAGGTGAAAATGCTGATTTCGTCAATCCATTGAAAAAGCCTAGTCACATTGATTGATCAGCTCCATATAAAAATAGTTTTTTTCTGACTTCCTAAAGTTTTCTTTATGAAGGGAAAGTTTCATTTCTGAAACTTTGCTTTTACTCTTGAGATTATAAACCTTTTTTTTTTTTTTTTTTGAGTTGGAGTCTCACTCAGTCGCCCAGACTTGAGTGCCGTGGCCGCTCCTGGCCACCGCAGCCTCCACCTGCTAGGCTCTGGTGATCCTTCCGCCTCAGCCTTCCAAGTATCTGGAACTACAGGTGTGCGCTACCATGCCCAGCTAGTTTTTTATTTTTTGTAGAGATGGGGTCTCGCCAAGTTGCTCAGGCGGGTCTTGAACCCGTGGGCTCAGGCAGTCCACTCACCTCAGCCTCCCAAAGTGCAGGATTACGGGCTGAGCCACTGAGCTCAGCTGAGATTATAAACCTTTTATGTGTGTAACCTGAAATTGCATACCTCTATTATGCCTGTTATTTATTTATTTATTTTTTGAGTTGGAGTCTCACTCTGTCGCCCAGACCAGAGTGCAGTGGCCTCTCTCGGCCACCACAGCCTCCACCTGCTGGGTTCTGGCGATCCTTCCACCTCAGCCTTCCAAGTAACTGGAACTACAGGCATGCGCTACCACGCCCGGCTAATTTTTGATTTATTATAGAGATGAGGTCTCGCCAAGTTTCCTGGGTGGGTCTCGAACCCGCGGGCTCGGGCAATCCACTCACCTTGGCCTTCCAAAGCACAGTATTACAGGCTGAGCCACCGAGCCCGGCCGTGGCTGTTATTTTTTAATGCTGATGTATTTTATAGACACCTGTTTTAATTAAGAGCCAAGATCATTACTAACATTTATTGTTAAAATAGGTGCTGTACCTATAATCAGATGTTCAAGAGGAACAGCAGCAGAAATGGTAGCAGTGGTAAGTTCATGCAGATAGCACTTGGAGATAAGTAACATTGTGTGAATTGTTTTCCCTTAAGTGCCTCAAGTGTTTTTGTTTGTATTAAATATATTATTGCTCATATATAGTAAGTAGTAATGGCAAATATTTTTGTTTTATTATGTGGAGAGCCCACCAAAGATAAAAAGTAATAATTAGAGTACTTCTGTATGAGAAAGTAAAATTGTTTATTCCAGTGTGCTATTCCAGTTCTGTATTTTTATGTTCTAAAATATATATTCCTAAAATGTATTTTTATGTTCTAAAATATATATTCCTCATTCAGCTTTGGGTCTCCAAGTAATATTTTACACTTGATTCCCTCAAATTATTTAGTATTTAACTTCATTTAGCAAATATTTATTATCAGTCATAACCATTCTTAAAATGATAAAGTGCATTTTGCCATCCCATTGTGTTTGAGTAAAATACTCATATTTAGTATAAATTGAGCTTTCACAGGTTTTCAGTAAAGATTAAAAAATAAATAAGGGATTAGAGAAATTACAGAATCACTGAAAAGGACATAGGGTAAGTGGTGTAGAAAGACAGAGGAAAATACGTTAACAATTTGAAGCTTTGTTAGCCCAAATGAATCTCTGACTGGTGAGGACTATTTTCTTTCACATATTTCATTTCCATTCTGGTGCGCCTTGCCCTCACCACTACTCTTCACTTCCATCCACCCAAGTCAGTGTTTTCTCCTTATAGACACCTTCCTTGGTACAACAATCATGCTTGGGGAGAGAGGGTGGGTCATTAATGCAAAATATTTCCCATACCTAAAGTACAATTGGTCAGTGAAAAATGTGTATTAGTAAATCAAGCCTGAGTCACAGGGAAAAGGTAGTGGTCTGTTTCCAAGTTCAAGTTATCATGATATTGAGATAGAAGAGAAACTAAAATATTTAGATGTTAAAATTGCTATTTTGTAATGAATTTCAGGTTTCTTGGTTATGAAACTAAGGCACATTCTGTATTACCCAACATAAAATTATATGAAACTGTTCTTTAAGAGTTAACCTAAAATTTTATTTTTTAGAAACTAGATAAGAAACTTCGGGAAAATCTAAGAGATGCAAGAAACAGTCTTTTTACAGGTGATACACTTGGAGCTGGACAGTTCAGGTATTAATGTAGAGTTTTTTTGCTGTTACTTTTCTTGTCTGATAGAATTCCCTTTTCCTTGTAATTGAAATTTGTTTTTGTTTTTTTTTACTTCTTAAAGAGATAATCAGGATCAGGGTTGTTATTCAAATTGTTCTTAAAATACATATGGAATATTTCATTCAGTATCCCTTCTTTTGGTAGAAATTTCTGTGGCATCTTATCTGTAGTAGAAATTTTCTGTTTATGAGGTTTTGAAGGTCAGATGCCCTTTCAATTGTCATTAAACCTCTTGATAATAAAAAAAATGAAAAATGTGTGATACTTGTTTCTACTTTACTATCTAATTTCCATTTTTACATTGAAATACTAGTAGGCTAAACTTGCAAAGGGTTTTGTCATTGTTAGCATTTGTAGCATGAGCAGGTAATGCCAGTTTCTGGATGCTCAATTATTGAATAGAAATACTAAAAAACTATACATTATATTACCTGCAACTTTTTATCATTAATAGCAATAGGGTGAAGAAGTAAAGAAATCCACTCAAATAGCTTATAATTCCTTAAATAGGTGGAGACTGTATTTTGGAAAAAGAATTCTTACCCAAGTTTAGATGAATTTATAAATAAAAGCCTATGAAAATAAATTGATATCCAGAGGAATAACTGCCTGCTAGGAATAAAAAATGCACAATGTAACCATCCATTGACTTCATTTTAAGTCAATTATGATGGTGCCTCATATACTACTCCTATAATTGGAGTTCATACTAACATTGTGTTTCAATTGTTTGGTTAACTATCTCAGCTCTCACATTATTTTAAATGGCTCTATGCTTTCACTACTAGCCTTAAATATTCTTCAAAATGTTTCTGATTAAGTAAAGCAGAGACATCAAATTCTCACCTGATTTTTTTTTTTTTTTAACAAAAGCAACCATTATATCATACCTTAGTTCCCTTTTTATAGTGCTCTGGAATAGGCTTTGGAAAGCACTGACTACTGTATTTGGATAATTTTTAAAAAATTGTTCACATTATTATAATATAGTTGTCTTGTTTCTTAATTTATTGGATGCATTTCTAAATTATTTTAATTAGAGATCACCAACCTTGCTTGGTTAAATTCCTTTTGAATACAACTATAAAATAGGATGTTGATTATCAACAAGGGGCAATTTCTGCCCCCCAAAGACATTAGGGTAACGTCTGGAGACTTGTTTAATTGCCGTAACTGGGTAGGTGCTACTGGAATCTAGTGGGGTACATTGTAGGATGCTACTAAACATTCTATAATGCACAACACTTCTTGTAACCAGGAATTATCTAGAGCCATATGTCAGTAGTGTTAAGGTTAAGAAACCCTATAGTAAGCCATCCTTACCTTTCATTTAGCTCTGATTTCATAAATGATAGGAGATTGTGAGTACCACTCTGACTTTTTATCCCAGGGTCCGAACAGTTAGGGAAGTCCACTATCCTAAACCCAGAAGAGGGTAATGAGTTACTAAAATAGTCAGAGGTCTTTTACAGGAGAAAATACATGTAGCTAATATAATCCAGTGGCAATGCCTTTTGAAAAGCAGTATGTACTCCTGATACAGTAGTGTAAAGCTCTGTAGACACATGATAACCAAATGACTTTGTGCCTTAGTTTGCTCTAGGTATAATCTATTTCACATCTAAGTTGTATTAATGGCGTTAAACAGTACATGAAGTGTCATATGCATTTGTCTGTTAAGGGAATAATAATATAATTAAGTGCTCTTATGGCATGATATTTTCATTTTGTATATTATAATGGAGTAGACATTTTTGAGGCTCTTCCCTGGAGTCTTTTTTGAATTTGTGTTTATAGGAAAAAGTTGTAATTTGTAATTTTTGAAACCGTCAAACATTTAAGTAAATTTATAAGCTACTACTCCCTGTTATCCTTGAAGCTGACTGTAACTATTCCTTGCTGCCTTTTCTCAAAAATGTGAAATGTATATCTAAGTAGAAGCAGCTTATTTTGTTAACTATAAAAATGATTCTATAAAAGTATTTTTTATAGATTTCTTTCTTTAAGAAAGTTTCCTAAATAAGGCTTATAAGCTAGCATTACACAGAGGCTCTAAGTAGTCCAAAGCACTACTGTACTTTAAAAAGGAAATTTCTTTTTTTTTTGAGTTGGAGTCTCACTCTGTCACCTAGACTGGAGTGCAGTGGCCGCTCCCCGGCCACTGCAGCCTCTACCTGCTGGGCTCTGGCGATCCTTCCACCTCAGCCTTCTGAGTAGCTGGAACTACAGGCGCGCGCTACCATGCCCGGCTCATTTTGATTTATTGTAGAGATGAGGTCTCACCAAGTTGCCCAGGTGGGTCTCGAACCCGTGGGCTCAGGCAATCCACTAACCTCAGCCTCCCAAAGGCGCGGGATTACAGGCTGAGCCACCAAGCAAAATAGTATGGTGTTTGCTTCAGCAGTACATACTAAAAAGCAAAGTATTGTGAAGTGGCAGTATTAGCATAGTATTATTCATATCAAAATGTCATATACTTAAAAGCATTAGAAGATTTTAGATGTATACACTGGTATCAAGAGTTATATAATTTTTCTACGTATATTTACAGCTTCCAACGGCCTTTATTAGTCCTCGTTGACAGAAACATAGATTTGGCAACTCCTTTACATCATACTTGGACATATCAAGCATTGGTGCATGATGTACTGGTAAGAGGCTAAATATGGCACTTATTACTGAAATGTATGAATATGCAATGGTCCCCTTAATTTAAAATTAACATCATGGCTGTAGAAATAAAGATGCGAAGAGTTGAGCTGAAAAAATAAGAACAAATAAAATGATGGTATTTGATATCACTTGATATGGATGCTGGAGAAGAGTGAAGCATTGAAGTTTACAATTCCAATTTTATGAACTTTAAATTATAGGATAAATTAGTGATATTTCTGGCTATGATGGACAAGAAAATAATTGAGGAAAACGAGCAACTGTCTTTTTGTTTTTATTTTTCAAACTGAATAAGTAAATGTGTTCTCTCTAGGGAGAAAAGCTGTAATCCCACATATCTGATTTCATGCTTATAACAAAAACTTATATTTACTCATGTATATATTCACCTACTATCATACTAAACATGTGATGCACACAGATAAAATATAGCTTCAGTTTTCAAAGGTAATGGAAAGAAAATACATACATAAATAATTTATCTACAAGACACGGTATAAGAGAGCCAGAATTGATAGAATTTAAAGAATTTGAACCCAAATTATTTGACTTTTTTAGGACTAGGACTCTAGTTTACTAAACTCCTGGCCCAGGCTGCTAATGATTGTAATATACAATAGTGTCATTCTTGCAAAAATTACCTGAAATGTCATATGAAAAGAAAATGAAAGACATGCAACAGATGGTTTAATAGTTTATTTCTTTAAAACTTGAATATGAGCTCTAAAATGTTTATTTCAATGAATATGAGTTTGGATTATGAATGGGAATTGGCAGTTCTATATACTTCTCTGTCCTAGAATTCTATGCCATGATTCTGGGATGAGTGTCCAAGGAATAGCACTCAGCTCCAATTTGGTAGAGGACAAGAGGATTCAAAGGGACCACTGAATTAGCCCTCAGTAACAGAACATGGAAGCTGATTTAGGAGTCAAGTAAGAGGCTGGAGAAGAATTCACTTCAACCAGTATTTGAGTGCCTACTCTTTAACAGATGTTCTAGACCCTGTGAACAAAGACAGAAGCTCTCCTGTCTTCCTGGAGCTTGCATTCTAATAACAGAGAAAGGCAGTAAAGAAACAAAATATGTAACATTTCAGAAGGTAGAAAGCACTCTGGAGTAGAATAAATGATGAACAGGATTGAAATTTTAAAATAGGAAAGACTTCACTGATAAAGTAACATTTGAGGAAAGATCTAAAGGAGGTAAGGTAGTGAATTATATGACTATAATGGGAAAGAAACATTCTAGACAGATGGATACCTGATATGTTTAAAGATGGCAGAGCAGCAGATGGCCACAATAAAGTGAGGCAGGGGAAAGGTAGCAGGAGATAAGGCTAAATAGGACAGGGAAGCAAGATAGTACAGGACATTATAGGCCATTGTAAGGTCACTGACTTTTAATTGGAGGAAAATAGTCACACACAGTTCAGGTATATATTTTAAGACCAACACTCTAGCTGCTGTGTTGAAAATGGACTCCTTGGGGGCATAGGAAGAGCAAGGAGGTCTGTTAAGAGGCTATTGGAATTGACTTCAGGAAGAGATAGTGGTAGCTTATACGAAGATGGAAATGGTGAGGGCTGTGATTATCTATTTAATGTGGAGTGTAGGATTTGCTAGTGAGTTGGATGTGGGATCTAAGAGAAAGAGAGGAGGCAAAGATGACTTCAAGGTTTTGGCATTTGCAAATGAAAAGATGTTGTTTACCGGGAGGGAAAGAACAGTTTTGGGAGAAAGGTCAGATGTTTGGTTTTGGATATTTTAAATATGAGATGCCTGTTAAGATATTGAAGTGTAGATGTTGAGTAGGTAGTTAGATACACAAGTGTGGCATTTAAGAGGCCATCTGGTTTAGAGAAATACATTTAGGGGCAGTTGGTATATAGATGGTATTTAAAGCCAGAAAACAAGATGAGATTTCCAAGGGAATGAGTATAGATGAGAAAATGTATGAGAAAGAGAAGCGGTCCAAGAACCAAACTCTGAGATACTTCAACATTTAGAAGTCAGGTGGATGACTATGAAGGAGCAGCCAGTGAGGTATGAGAACTAAATATGTGTTGTTTTCAGAAGCTAGTGGATTATGTGATGCAAAAGGTGGCAGAGATCAACTGAGAACTAAAGTCACTATTACTTGTGGCAATGTCAGGGTCATTAGTGACTTTGTTAAAAACAGTTTCCATAGCGTAGGGGCAAAACCCTGATTGAAGTGGGTTTAAGAGAGATTGGAAGGGGAAGCCTAAGAGAGTGAATATAGTCAAAACTTCAAAGAGTTTTTCTGTGTAAGAGAGCTGAGAAAAAGAATGATTGCTGCAAGGAGGGTAAGAAGTCAGAAAATGTTTGTTCAATGTGAGAAATTATAGCATGTTTATGAACGAATGGGAATGATCAGAAGAGAATAGTTAATACTGCAGGATATAAAAGTGTCCTGCAGGTGACATGAGTGAGTAGTATAAACCAGGGTTTCTCAATCTTGTCATTACTGACATTCCTTGTTATGGGTTTGGCTGGCCCTGTGCATTGTAGGATGTTTAGCATCGGTCCAGACTGCAACACTTTAGATGCCAGTAGCAATCCCTCAGTTGTTCACAACCAAAATGTCTTCATGCATTGTCAAATATACCCCCGTGGGTAGAAAGGAACAAAATTGCTCTTGATTCAGAACCATAGTTACAGGCTGATTACATCAATTTCAAAGCTAGAGTTGTTTTAGGAAAGAGGGCAAGTATAGGGTCTGGGAGTAGCAAGGAAGACCCAATCTCAGTCTCAGGTTCAGTGGTATAAGCTGTGTAAGAGGTTTAAAAAAAGTTACCATTTGAGAAGGATGCAGGGATAGGCAGTTGGGAGTTAAATTAGAGCAAGAAAGTATGGGGCAAGTTCAGAGGGGATGTTTAAAAGAGGAGATTTTGCTGATCACTGAGTATGAATTTAAGAGGTGATAACGGAAAGATTTCAGGAGTGAGGTAAGAATAGGAGATGGGATCTGAGGATGGTGGGGTGGGGGTTAAAGAGCTATAGGGATTTATGGGCATAATGACATAGTCTTGATAGTCTTAAGTCATATTTGATTGGTGGGGCCCTGACTGTTGAGTGGGAGCAAGGGATGAGGGTCTTATAGCACACAGATTACATCATTCCTGCCATTGGTGATGTGGAGGCTTTCTAGAGCACTGAGTTATGTAGAGATCCCTTCTAATTCCTTTTTTTTTTTTGAGTTGGAGTCTTACTCTGTCATCCAGGCTAGAGGGCAGTGGCATGCTCCCGGCCACCGCAGTCTGGACCCACTGGGCTCCAGCGATCCTTCCACCCCAGTCCTCCAAGTAGCTGGAACTACAGGCGCACGCTACCACGCCTGGCTCATTTTTGATTTATTGTAGACGAGGTTTTGCCAAGTTGCCCGGGCGGGTCTCGAACCCGCGGGCTCAGGCAGTCCTCTCGCCTCGGCCTCCCAAAGTGCTGGAAGAATCCCTGGGCTCCCTCATGACTCCCCTGGGTAGAGAAAATTAAAATTTTGAGCACAGGAAGTAAAGCACATGTGTAGGTAATTGCAGTGTACAGTAGTTGGCTCTGAATCCCCATTGTTGAAAGAGAAGATTGGGAAACATAACTTAGGGCAGAGGTTCCTCAAACCCAAACAAGGCTAATTCTGGTCCTTGATGATGTTTTCAGTGTTTCAGAATGAAATGAGAATAAATAAGACTGTGAAATGAGTTTTTATACTGGCCTTTTACTAATTTTTATTTCCTATTCTTTGAAGTTAAAAGATTCTTTTAAATATAAAAGATAGTAAAAGTAGATGGTAGGGTTATTTTTGTTTTACTCTTCTTCGAATAAAAATTTGGCAGTCTTTGAAGAAATTGGTTGTAATTAACTGCACAACTTGCAATGGCCTAATTCTCTTCATTAATTGTAATGCATTTTCTAGATGTGAACAAACTATAACTAAGATGTCATAAGTTATAATTATGCTATTTTCAGAGCTTTAAAAGTTCTTAATAATTATACCCTTTGCCTCCACAAGATGGAGTAGACGTTCTAGATAGGAATTAACTTAAAATTGCAGTTTGCTTTTTGTATCGAGTGTCTTTGCCTGAAAATCTGCCCCATTGATCACTGTTCATATGTTACACCTTGGAAACAACTATGAAAATTCACACAACTTCCCTGTATATCAGAAAGATGATTTTGTTATTTAAAATTGGAAGCATGGAAGCACACCATTCTAGTGAAAAACTTTGCAGCATCCTTTTCCTTTTATTGGGATATGAGAAGCACAATTAGTAGTTAGAAAGTCATAATTCCTTTTTGTTGTGTCTTGGTTGGGGGAGGGGTAGATTTGATTGTCCAAATGCAAGAGTGGTTGCCCTCAGTCAAAGGGATGGACAGTATTTCATTTCAGTATCCTTTACTTGGCCTGTGTTTTTTCAAGTCTGAGGCTCTCTTTTTGTATCTTTTTCCTTGTGCTATTGACTCTTACTATTTGAAGCATTGAATCAATTTATACTAATATATACAAAACTTTAATAAAATTTACTTTTGGCCACTCAAGAATAAAAAAGAAAATGGTTTCTAAATAACAGTATTTTCAAAAGGCTATCAGAGAAGCATTGTAGAAACACCCAGTTTCTTAAAAATGTGTGATTACAACATAACAGATGCCTAAGTGTAGTTCAAAGGGTGATGCTTCCGGTCCAGGGTTGATGTTCTGTTGATCCTTTAATCGTTTTTAACACAAAACCTCTTGGGAAGCACTATCTTAGCCTTATTTCAGGCATTTACCTAAAAGTCAAAAGCATAATATAAACTTCTACTCATGAAATCCAAACAAATCCCTATTTTACTGTACTTATTGATAGGAAGTTATAAATAAGATGTGTAAGCTATAAAAAAGCCCAGGAGATATACTTTGTCTCATTCAATTTTATAAAAGTGGTCTTGTTAAAGTATATCTCCATATTTGTTTCTGTATGTAA